AGGCTGCCAATCCATCAGCAAAGAGCGAAATCTTTCCCTGGGTTGGCTTTGACTCAGCAATCAGGCAAGGAAAGACCTTTGTCGCTAATTTCCCAAGCCATCCTCCAGTCGCTATGCATCCAAGAGGCAATTCCTGGCCGGGTGAGACTAAAGGGAAAATGACCCCAGCATCAAAAGACATTGATGGCCTTTTCTCCATCGATGGGGGAGGTTTAGATTGGATATTAGGAAAAACTTTTTCACTAAGAGGGTGGTGAAACACTGGAATGCGTTACCTAGGGAGGTGGTAGAATCTCCTTCCTTAGAGGTTTTTAAGGTCAGGCTTGACAAAGCCCTGGCTGGGATGATTTAACTGGGAATTGGTCCTGCTTCGAGCAGGGGGTTGGACTAGATGACCTTCTGGGGTCCCTTCCAACCCTTATATTCTATGATTCCATCCAAAGGCTTAAAATGTGTCATGGTCTCTTCGTTATTGACCAGTCATACTTTAGCAGGGGAACGACCCTGATCCCTAAAGCCCTGTTATTTGTACCAGCATAAATGTGACTCCTTCGCCCGATACAGATTGCTATGTAAAAATCTGTGCGTGTGTCAAATGAAGCCAGTTCTCTCACCCCAGGGAGAACTGGCTTGTATTGGTTACAGTGAGTTTGGTCCACAGCACAAGACAAAAAAAACCATCTGCAGCGCCTTCAGGCTGCTATATGCTCTCATTTACTGCCCCCTAGTGGAATTCTGGCGTGATACAGAATGTATTTTTTAAACAAATATATACTTGATAAAGAACCATCCTTCCTAACTGAAGTGGCTGGAAATAATTGTGGACAGGGAAATATTAGGAAGGGGTTTATCGAGCCAGGACAGATTTGCCTTTTCTCTTCTCACCTCTTCCCGGTGGTGGTGTTGGGAGGTCAGAATCTCAATAAGGGAAAATAAATGATGACAGCAGGACCCAACGGAGAACAGCTTCCCAGTGTGCCAGGCGCTGTACACGTGCATAGTAAGAGACAAGACAGATAAAGGAAGGCTCTTTATCTCCATTTTACAGACTGGGAACTGTGGCATATAGAGATAAGCAACTTGTCTCAGGTCATGCATAGTCTGTGGCAGAGCCAGGAAATGAACCCAGGTCCCTGGCCAGTTGTCTAACCGTGAGACCTTCCCTCCCATTTGGGAAAAATATGGCTTTGGGCTGTTGTGATGGGAAAAGGTGCTTTCAAACTTGGTTATATGAGGAATAACAAGGCTGCTCTTTCTCACTGTGCTGCTGAAGGACTAATTGGAAGAGTCAGAGATGTGTGTTGGCGGTTCTTGCTGCCTGTAATTGCAGGGATGGGGATTATTCTTTAACAAAAGCCTGATCCTTCCAACTCTTTGACCGGTGTTGAAGTGAACTGGATGCAGAGCAAAACGCTATGATTTCATCCAGGCAAGCCCTTCCCCCTCTCTGCTAATCAGGGTTCACATCCTGGGTCCCCGTGATGTCACAAGCCTATTAGTTGTCCAGTCCTGCATGGAGTGTTCCTGGAAGAAGAAAGGGATAGTGTGAGAGGGCAAAGGGGTAGCCATGGAGGGATCTATCTTCCATGAACTTCTCTAATTCTTTTTTGAACCCAGTTGGCCTTCACAACATCCTCTGGCAATGAATTCCACAGGTTGACTGTGTGTTGTGTGAAAAGGTACTTCCTTATGTTTGTTTTAAAGCTGCTGCCTGTTAATTTCATTGGGTGACCCCTGGTTCTTGTGTTATGGGAAGGGGTAAATAACACTTCCCTAGGCACTTTCTCCACACCATCTGGAGTGAGGAGGGCAGGAGCCACACACCCCCATGTAGTGATTTAACTGAATCCAGGACCTTTGCTTCTAAAAGGTTGAGCTTCTACAACGTGAGCTCCAGCACCCATCTCGTTAGCTAGGCTGTAGCAGGCTCATCCACCTCTGTCTCTGGCCTCCTGACCACTAGAGGGGGAGAGAGCGCCTCACCGAGTGGGTGTGGCTTACACCAGCCTATGACTGGCTGGAGGCGGGTGGTCTCCGAGATACATATGGGATCAGCCAGTGTCACCAGCTTAGTTGAAAGGGGGCTGCTGGCAATGACCAGGGTGGCAGGCACTGGACGGGGACATGGGACAGGCCTTTCGCATAGGGACGGGGTTGCTCCAAGCATTTTGTGACCCTTGGGCAAAGGATGCTACAAAACGCATCTCATTGTGTTGACCTGGTCACTAAGCATTTTATTGCACAGCCTGGGAGCCCAGGCATGGACCAGCCAGCACCCCATCGTGCTAGATCACAAATTCCCTGGGACAGAGGCTGCCTCTTGCTCTGTGTCTGTAGCTCCCAGGACAATGGGGCTGGGTTCCTGAGCCGGGCCTCCAGGTAATAATCAATAGTCTCCAAATGAGAAAACCACCAGAGAGCAGGCTTGCTGTGGCACCGAGGAATGGTCAGCTGGCCACTAGAGGGCAGCCTCACTTGCTCACTCGTTCACACCAAACCAGTATGTTACCGCGAGCGAGGGAAATGGAGCAGAAATGGGTGTGGAAGCATGGCCAGGATCCATCTGGGCTTGGCAGGCCACCCCCAAAGCTGCTGCTAGGGGCCTCGCGCCCATTGATATTGTAGATTGTGAAATGGGGGGAGGGCGGGGGGGATGAGGGCTGCCGGGCTGAGGTGACTGAACAAATACATTGGGCGGAGTATTTAGTTAGCAGCAGAGGGTAGCTGCGTCCCCACTGCATTACGAGCTGGAGTATCAGCAGCACTTGAGCTTTAACCCCCAACAGGCCGGTTAGCTTGGGTCTAATACACCACCTGACTCGAGCTAGAGATTTTTAGGTGTGGACAGGAGTGGGGTTAAGGGCAGCACTCAAGTTCTATCTCGTGCTAACACTGCAGCGAAGACCAGCCCAGAGAGAGGCCTTGTCTGAACATGCCCAGGTGTTGGAAGCTGACCATGGACCGAAGCCAGATCACCAGATACCAACCCGTCTGAACGTGCAGGGCATAAAAAATCCAGGTTTGAATCATAGAATCATAGAATATCAGGGTTGGGAGGGACCTCAGGAGGTCATCTAGTCCAACCCCCTGCTCAAAGCAGGACCAATCCCCAATTAAATCATGCCAGCCAGGGCTTTGTCAAGCCTGACCTTAAAAACTTCTAAGGAAGGAGATTCTACCACCTCCCTAGGTAATGCATTCCAGTGTTTCACCACCCTCCTAGTGAAAATGTTTTTCCTAATATCCAACCTAAACCTCCCCCACTGCAACTTGAATGTTCCAGCTGGAACTGATCTCTGATCACAAGTCTCTGAATCTGCAGGGAGCAAAGGAAATGCAGCCTATGATATGATCCAAACCCTGAGAAGGCTTCTGTTCAGTAGGGAAAGTATCCCATCTCCATTCTCCCCCACAACCAGTCACACCAATTCAGATCTTTCTTGAGAGGAGGGGGCAAATTCTAGTCTCTACCCCCTGGCGGGGACCCCATGCCAGTCCCATTTGTCCCCCCTCCTCCCATGCAGGGTCCCCCGATTTCTTTTGGCCGGGGAGTCTCCACTCTCTCTTACCCACACAGCACATGAGCCAGTGCCACCAGGGGTCGAGTTCTTGGCAGACTCCCCCATGCTTTGCCATCCAGGACCCGACTCTTTGTCCACCAGGTCGGAGCGCCATTTGGCCCGGCTGCAACTCTGTCTGGATGGAGGGTGGCTGGGCTAAATCTGAGTGACATTGTCAGCCCATGCACCAGGTCGCATGACCCCTCATTGCAGTGTGGCCTGGACCCCCTCCAGCTGTATGGAGGGGTGGACAGGTGACATTTCAGTGGCATTGGGACCATGCACACAGGGCAATGCTCTGGATTACTCTGGCAGCAGCTGTACTGAGATACTACGGGACCATGGCTGAAAAGTGGTTGGACCAGGGCCTCCCCCGGCTCCATGGCCAATGGAATTTTGAGCAAGTGTAAAAACTGGGGGGCAGGGGCGGGGAAGGAGGGGGATTTGCTCCCCCTAATTGGCACAACTACCTCCCACCTTCCCCTCCCTCTGCTGTTCCAGGGTCTTCCATGGTGAACACACTGGAACAGAACTAGAGAAGGTCCCCTCTTTCCATCAGGGCTGCACGTACCAGGGCTGGGATGAGAACCAGCCGTGCCCTGCTCCTCAGCCTTCCACTGGCCTCTGGTGGGACAAAAGCGCAACTGCAGGCCCAGCAAAAACGGGCGTGATTACAGGCAGAAAAATGAAAACAGAGGAAAATGACCTACTGGTAGAGGTTCAACCACCCCAAGGAGACTGGGTCCTGGCAGGGGTGTTGGAACTATTTTTATAGTGGGGGTGCTGACTGGGAGCCATTGAACGAAACTGTAAACCCTGCATATAATGGAAACCACTTCAAGCCAGGGGGTGTGGCTGCACCCCTAGTTCCAGCACCCATGGGTCCTGGGAGCTGAGGTCTAGTCGGGCATGGGGTGAGGCGTGGATGCTGGTAGATGGGGGGCAGGTTGGAGGGGGCTGATATTGATACAAGACTTTGTTGTTAGGACAGGACACTGGCAGAAGGCAGTATCTCCAGCTGGAATTTGGCCATGGCGCCAGGGATATCCCCCTTTGTCTTGTGAAAAATGTCATGGGATTGTTAATGACAAGCAGACAAGCCCTCATCTGAAAGGGGGCTACTGGAGGGGCCACCTACGCCTCACGCTGAGGCTTCGGCTCAGTACTGGGTCATCCCAATATTCCTCCCCTGCCATCCGTTACCCACTTCTCAGTTCATCTTCAGACCCTGTCCTATGTGTCCTCCACTGAGTCTCCACCAGCCTCAGTCCCCCAAGCCTCTGTCCCCCGTTCATTCCCTCCCTCAGACCCCCCCATTCTGTCTCCCCGTCAGCCTCCATCCCTTTCATTCACCAGAAGGCAAATCAGAAGAACCCCAAATATTATTTCTAAAAAACTCCTAATTTTTAAGCCAATCTCATTTTTTTTGGGGGGGGGGGGGGGGGGGCTGACTCATGGTTTTTGGATGCTTGGTGTCAGTGTTCATAAAACCAGGTAGAAGGAACAAAATCCTCCCTAATCACCTTGTACAATCCCATCCTAGAGCCGGCGCCTTCTAGACCCTTGTAAATATCTTAGGACGTGTGATGTTGCATGAAACAGTAGCCAGAAAAGTTACTCATGGCAGGAGAAGGATGGCCTGGTGGTCTAGGACTTGGAGACCTGAGTTCAAGTCCCTGTTGTACCACAGACTTCTTGTGTGACCTTGGGCAAGTCACTTAGCTGCTCTGTGCCTCAGTTTCCCCATCTGTACAATGGGGATAACGACACCGCTCTACCTTCCAGGGTGCTGTGAGAATAAATACATTTCAGATTGTGAGGCCATCGGATACTAGGGTAAGGGCAGCAATACCTGGCAAGTTTCCCTTGTTTTAGTGATACAAATAAAAACCGGTATTGACAGCGATTCAGGCGTGGGCCTCGTTCTATCCAGTGTTAATAGCCAAAGCAGCAGCACTTCTTAAGGCCATGTCCACACACACAAGTTGTACCGCTTGCATGAGGTCATTCTAGTGGTACAACGTCCCCTAGTGTGGACGCGGTCACGCTGGCGTAAATGTGCTTCTACTAGAATCGCTATTCCTGGGTGGGAAGGGGGCTAAGCTGTACTGTCCTAAGCCCTGGTCTACACTAGGACTTTAGGTCGAATTTAGCAGCGTAAAATCGATGTAAACCTGCACCCGTCCACACGATGAAGCCCTTTTTTTCAACTTAAAGGGCTCTTAAAATCGATTTCCTTACTCCACCCCTGACAAGTGGATTAGTGCTTAAATCGGCCTTGCCGGGTCAAATTTGGGGTACTGTGGACACAATTCGACGGTATTGGCCTCCGGGAGCTATCCCAGAGTGCTCCATTGTGACCGCTCTAGACAGCACTCTCAACTCAGATGCACTGGCCAGGTAGACAGGAAAAGAACCGCGAACTTTTGAATCTCATTTCCTGTTTGGCCAGCGTGGCAAGCTGCAGGTGACCATGCAGAGCTCATCAGCAGAGGTGACCATGATGGAGTCCCAGAATAGCAAGAGAGCTCCAGCATGGACCGAACAGGAGGTACGGGATCTGATCACTGTATGGGGAGAGGAATCCGTGCTATCAGAACTCCGTTCCAGTTTTCGAAATGCCAAAACCTTTGTCAAAATCTCCCAGGGCATGAAGGACAGAGGCCATAACAGGGACCCGAAGCAGTGCCGCGTGAAACTTAAGGAGCTGAGGCAAGCCTACCAGAAAACCAGAGAGGCGAACGGCCGCTCCGGGTCAGAGCCCCAAACATGCCGCTTCTATGATGAGCTGCATGCCATTTTAGGGGGTTCAGCCACCACTACCCCAGCCATGTTGTTTGACTCCTTCAGTGGAGATGGAGGCAACACAGAAGCACGTTTTGGGGACGACGAAGATGATGATGATGATGAGGTTGTAGATAGCTCACAGCAAGCAAGCGGAGAAACCGGTTTTCCCGACAGCCAGGAACTGTTTCTCACCCTGGACCTGGAGCCAGTACCCCCCGAACCCACCCAAGGCTGCCTCCTGGACCCGGCAGGCGCAGAAGGGACCTCCGGTGAGTGTACCTTTTAAAATACTATACATGGTTTAAAAGCAAGCATGTGAAAGGATTAATTTGCCCTGGCATTCGCGGCTCTCCTGGATGTACTCCTAAAGCCTTTGCAAAAGGTTTCTGGGGAGGGCAGCCTTATTGCGTCCTCCATGGTAGGACACTTTACCACTCCAGGCCAGTAACACGTACTCGGGAATCATTGTACAACAAAGCATTGCAGTGTATGTTTGCTGGCGTTCAAACAACATCCGTTCTTTATCTCTCTGTGTTATCCTCAGGAGAGTGAGATATCATTCATGGTCACCTGGTTGAAATAGGGTGCTTTTCTTCAGGGGACACTCAGAGGTGCCCGTTCCTGCTGGGCTGTTTGCCTGTGGCTGAACAGAAATGTTTCCCGCTGTTAGCCACGGGGGGGGGGGAGGGTTGAGGGGGTAGCCACGCGGTGAGGGGAGGCAAAATGCGACCTTGTAACGAAAGCACATGTGCTATGTATGTAATGTTAACAGCAAGGTTTACCCTGAAAGAGTGTAGCCACTGTTTTATAAAATGTGTCTTTTTAAATACCGCTGTCCTTTTTTTTTTTTTTCTCCACCAGCTGCATGTGTTTCAATGATCACAGGATCTTCTCCTTCCCAGAGGCTAGTGAAGATTAGAAAGAAAAAAAAACACACTCGCGATGAAATGTTCTCCGAGCTCATGCTGTCCTCCCACACTGACAGAGCACAGACGAATGCGTGGAGGCAAATAATGTCAGAGTGCAGGAAAGCACAAAATGACCAGGAGGAGAGGTGGCGGGCTGAAGAGAGTAAATGGCGGGCTGAAGAGAGTAAGTGGCGGGCTGAAGACAGGGCTGAAGCTCAAATGTGGCAGCAGCATGATGAGAGGAGGCAGGATTCAATGCTGAGGCTGCTGGAGAATCAAACCAGTATGCTCCAGTGTATGGTTGAGCTGCAGCAAAGGCAGCTGGAGCACAGACTGCCACTACAGCCCCTGTGTAACCAACCGCCCTCCTCCCCAAGTTCCATAGCCTCCACACCCAGACGCCCAAGAACGCGGTGGGGGGGCCTCCGGCCAACCAGCCACTCCACCACAGAGGATTGTCCAAAAAACAGAAGGCTGGCATTCAATAAATTTTAAAGTTGTAAACTTTTAAAGTGCTGTGTGGCATTTTCCTTCCCTCCTCCACCACCCCTCCTGGGCTACCTTGGTAGTCATCCCCCTATTTGTGTGATGAATGAATAAAGAATGCATAAATGTGAAGCAACAATGACTTTATTGCCTCTGCAAGCGGTGATCAAAGGGAGGAGGGGAAGGTGGTTAGCTTACAGGGAAGTAGAGTGAACCAAGGGGCGGGGGGTTTCATCAAGGTGAAACAAACAGAACTTTCACACCGTAGCCTGGCCAGTCATGAAACTGGTTTTCAAAGCTTCTCTGATGCATACCGCGCCCTCCTGTGCTCTTCTAACCGCCCTGGTGTCTGGCTGCACGTAACCAGCAGCCAGGCGATTTGCCTCAATCTCCCACCCCACCATAAACGTCTCCCCCTTACTCTCACAGATATGGTGGAGCACACAGCAAGCAGTAATAACAGTGGGAATATTGGTTTCGCTGAGGTCTAAGCGAGTCAGTAAACTGCGCCAGCGCACCTTTAAACGTCCAAATGCACATTCTACCACCATTTTGCACTTGCTCAGCCTGTAGTTGAACAGCTCCTGACTACTGTCCAGGCTGCCTGTGTACGGCTTCATGAGCCATGGCATTAAGGGGTAGGCTGGGTCCCCAAGGATACATATAGGCATTTCAACATCCCCAACCGTTATTTTCTGGTCTGGGAATAAAGTCCCTTCCTGCAGCTTTTGAAACAGACCAGAGTTCCTGAAGATGCGAGCGTCATGTACCTTTCCCGGCCATCCCACGTTGATGTTGGTGAAACATCCCTTGTGATCCACCAGAGCTTGCAGCACTATTGAAAAGTACCCCTTGCGGTTTATGTACTCGGCGGCTTGGTGCTCCGGTGCCAAGATAGGGATATGGGTTCTGTCTATGGCCCCACCACAGTTAGGGAATCCCATTGCAGCAAAGCCATCCACTATGACCTGCACATTTCCCAGGGTCACTACCCTTGATATCAGCAGATCTTTGATTGCGTGGGCTACTTGCATCACAGCAGCCCCAACAGTAGATTTGCCCACTCCAAATTAATTCCCAACTGACCGGTAGCTGTCTGGCGTTGCAAGCTTCCACAGGGCTATCGCCACTCGCTTCTCAACTGTGAGGGCTGCTCTCATCTTGGTATTCATGCGCTTCAGGGCAGGGGAAAGCAAGTCACAAAGTTCCATGAAAGTGCCCTTATGCATGCGAAAGTTTCGCAGCCACTGGGAATCGTCCCAGACCTACAACACTATGCGGTCCCACCAGTCCGTGCTTGTTTCCCGAGCCCAGAATTGGCATTCCACAGCATGAACCTGCCCCATTAGCACCATGATGCATGCATTGCCAGGGCCTGTGCTTTCAGAGAAGTCTGTGTCCATGTCCTGATCATTCATGTGACCGCGCTGACGTCACCTCCTCGCCCGGTATAGCTCTGCCAGGTTCTGGTGCTGCATATACTGCTGGATAATGCGTGTGGTGTTTAATGTGCTCCTAATTGCCAAAGTGAGCTGAGCGGCCTCCATGCTTGCCTTGGGATGGCGTCTGCACAGAAAAAAGGCGCAGAACGATTGTCTGCCATTGCTCTGACGGAGGGAGGGGCGACTGACGACATGGCTTACAGGGTTGGCTTACAGGGAATTAAAATCAACAAAGGGGGTGGCTTTACATCAAGGAGTATTTCAGGCAGGACTTCACGGAGGGTTCCAATAAGAAATGGTGCACCTAAGTAATTGTTCTTATTGGAACAAGCAGGTTGGTCTGGCCTCTGATTGATACATGACTAGATTTACCTCGCTGCACCTTCTCTGTGAGTGACTGCAATGTGACCTAGAGGAATGAGTCCTCTAGACGGGTGGGGGGGAAGCAAATGAGTACAAAACAAATCTGGTCTATTTCTTGTTTTGATCCACTCCATCTATCTTTTACATCTTTGGCTGGCAGCAGACGGTGCAGAAGGACTGCAAGCCATCCACATCTCATGGCTGCTCGGCAGAAGACGGTGCAGTAGGACTGCTAGCCATCCTCATCTCTTGCCTGCCTGGCAGAAGATGGTACAGTAGGACTGCTAGCAATCCGTATCACCTGCCTACTCACCATAAGATGGTTCAATAGGACTGACTGCAGCACTAAAGAGAATGACCTGGTCAAGTCACTCCAAATTTAGTCCCTACGCCCATGTCTGCCCAGGCGCTCCTGATCGACCTCACAGAGGCGACCAGGAGCACCTCGGACATGACGATGATGGCTACCAGTCGTACTGTACCGTCTGCTGCCACAAGGCAATGGGTTGATGCTGCTGTGTAGCAATGCAGTACTACGTCTGCCAGCACCCAGGAGACATACGGTGACGGTTACCTGAGCGGGCTCCATGCTTGCCGTGGTATGGCGTCTGCACAGGTAACTCAAGAAAAAAGGCACGAAACGATTGTCTGCTGCTGCTTTCACGGAGGGAGGGAGGGAACGGGGGCCTGACGATATGTACCCAGAACCACCCGCGACAATGTTTTAGCCCCATCAGGCATTGGGATCTCAACCCAGAATTCCAATGGGCAGCGGAGACTGCGGGAACTGTGGGATAGCTACCCACAGTGCAACGCTCCGGAAGTCGACTCTAGCCTCGGTACTGTGGAAGCACTCCGCCGAGTTAATGCACTTAATGCACTTAGAGCATTTTCTGTGGGGAGACGCACACTCGAATATATAAAACTGATTTCTAAAAAAACCGACTTCTATAAATTTGACCTTATTTCATAGTGTAGACATACCCTTAGGCATCTTTATACCAGTGGAAAGTCCGCACTAGGCCCTGCTAGTTCCTGCTCTAACTAGATCAGTAAAAGTCCCATCCCCTAACCGACAAAGTTATACCGGTCCATCCGTGTGATGTGCAGGCCTAAAATGCAGAGAGCAGGCTAGCGTCTGTGGCCTCCAAGTAGGGTGACCAGATGGCAACTGTGGAAAAAACGGGACAGAGGGTGGGAGGTAATAGGTGCCTATCGAAGAAAAAGTCCCCAAAAACGGGACTGTCCCTTTAAAAACGGGATGGACGGTCACCCTACCTCCAAAGACCCTAATTCTTCTCTCCCTTACTGTGGGGTCAATCAGGAGTGACTCCACTGGGTCACTGAAGTTACTTCGATTTAAAAGGGGGGGATGAGACCAGATTCCTGCTCCCCCTACCCAGCTCCCCTCTTCTCCAGACCTGCTCCTCGTTTCTGGCTCTTTTTTTTCGGCTCTTCCTTCCTTCTCTCTTTCTCTCTCTGTCCCCAGCAGCCAGCTCCAGCGGTTTGCTCATCCCTCCCCTGCTGTGACAGGAGGGAGCGGTGACCGCAGAGGGAGCGGGCTGGTGATGACATGCTTGGCAGGAGGCATCCATAGGGTTAGAACCGTGATGTCATAATGCCGGTGGCTGACATCAGGCAAGGAGGTGCAGCTCCGAGGCGCCATGCTGGAGCTGAGATGGCTGCTTATCTGGGGTCCCGCCTGGTGAGAGAAAGGGGCTGGTGCCCTCAGCCTGGGGGACAGAGGGGTTTGCAGCCCATCCCCTTGGGGACCAGCACTCTGCCCACACCCCCCATGCCATCCCTCTTGTGCCTGGAACCACAGAGACCCTGCTCCTCCAGATGTGTCTTCTTCCTGCACATTACAGATGTGCACAGCTGGAAGCCCATGCTGGACCCTGCCTCGCTGCCCCCCTCTGGCCTGTCCCCCAGTGCATGGGAAGCTCATGATGGAGTGGATGTGTAACCCTGGGGGAGGGCAAGCTAGGATGGGCTTGTGGGTGTGAAGGATAACTGGGGCCCAAAGATGGGGTGGGGGTAAGCTGGGGGTGAGGGAAGGGTGTGTGTGACTGCATGTCTCCTACCAGTGGAGGCATCACACCATGCACCAGGAGAAGGAAGCCAAGAAAGTAGAGGTGAAGATCAACTGCAGAGACATCATATGCGTCCAGGTATGCGCTGCCCACTTCCCCTGCGGGACTGTACCTCCGGCTGCCAGGCGGTTCTCTCAGGGCTGGATCCAAAGCCCACTGCACTGGATTGGGCCCACAGACATGCAGGAGAGCAGGACTGGGAGATGTCCTACTCTCGCTGCTCCCCATGGCTCTGACAGCTCATGTTAATGATTAACCATCTGTGCCTCTAGTCCCTTTTGCCTGCAGAGCTCCAACCCCCAATAGCGGTGGGACACCCCCATTTACAGATGGGGAAACTGAGGTCCAGAGGGGGGAAAGTGACTTGGCCGAGGTCACTTGGCATATCGGTTGCAGAGATGGGAATGGAACCCAGGATTCCCAGCCTCCGGGCCCTGCTCTAACCACTACACCAAACTGCCTCCCGTTTCAGTGCTTTATGTTGGCGGCAAGTTGAGCATGTTCATAGTTTACAGGAGCTGGGATGTGCCAAGGAGCCTGTTTGCAGTGGAAGACACTGTCCGTGGGTATATCCGGGTCTTTATCCTGATCCTTTTCTCTTTAGCTGAGCATCCTGTATTGGTACTGGCAAAGGGGGCTCACTCACCATGTGGGGCTACATCTTCATGTGCCCACAGCTGGAGCCAGGTTTTCAAAGGAGCTCAGCTCCCAACATACTGAGCTGTTTGGGGAACCGGGCCATTGCCTTCCTGCTGTGACATGAGGCCCCAGGATGAGACGCTATCTGCAGGGATTGAACCCACAACCTCCGGCTCGCATGCCCTAGTGCCTGAGCAGACAGAGGCAGCTCCGTTGAATGACACTCTTTAGCAGCCTCACAAACCTGTATGTGGTCCAGCGACTTGAGGGCAGAGAAGAGCCACAGTGTGTTAGCCCGGGATGATACTGCAGTGGGCTGACCGCTTGAGCTGGTGGGAGAAACTTAGCAAACCATATTCCATCGGCACATGCAGGTCTGTCCACGCTGGGGCAGTTTCGCTGGAGTTTCAGACTGGGGAAGAAAACTGGGGGAGGTAGGGCGGGGCAGAGGAGGTTCTGACCTTTTCTGAACAAAGTGTTTCAATTTGTTGTTTGGAAACGAATTTTTGTTTAGAATATTTTGGTTTTTGTATCGTATTTGTATAACGTGGTGAGGAGTCGTCCCTGAACTAGCGGCCTCATTGAGCCACATGTGGTGATGAGTCACTCCCGTGTGAGGCTCCAGCCAATCCGCAAGCCAGGAGCTGGTCAGGTGACTCTCAGGGGAGGTACATAAGCCCCACAGGAGAACGAGCCGCCCAGTCTGGCCAATGTCACTGCATGGCAAAGAACCATCCGCTGCCTGACAGTGGTGACGGACTCCACAGACCTCAGCCTGCTCTGGCACCAGCTCCAGCCTCGTTCCCAGTCCTGCCCTTGTGCCAATCCATCTCCCGGCCTTACACTTGCCTTGTTCTGACCCCACTCTTGACTCCTGACTCTGGTTCTGACCTCTGGCTCTGGTTCCCAGACTGACCGCCAACACACCAACCAGTAGGCCCGTCTCCCACTGCTCCAACCATAGGCCTTGCCCATCCATGTCTTGGTTTCTGACAAGGAGAGTTCTGCAAGACAACATTTTTAAAAAGGTTGAAATTGAAACGACTGGGTCACAACAATGTTTTGATCGACCCAAAAGGATTTTTCTTTTCATGTGGATTTTTCCTTTTTGGAGAATTTTGAAGTTTTCAGGTTCCGTTGCTCTTTGAAACCCTTTGTGAAATGGAATTTCCCTCCTCCACACACCCCTTTGCTCCCCACCTGCAACACAACAGGAAAGAAGAGGAGCCCACAACTGGGGCTGAAATTTCTTCCTGCAGACGGCTGGCTCGGCCCACTTCCAACCCGGCGGTGACGCAGCTCTCTGCTTCCCCCCTAGGATAACTGGGATGTGGAGGAGTTTGTCTCAAAGGTGTGCATGGGCAGGTTTCTCAATCATCCCGCCTTTAAAATCATGCTCGCTGCGCTCATCATCTGCAACGCGCTCATCATCGCTAGCCGGACGGAGGTGGAGGTCGAAGAGGTACGTTTGCGATGTCTAAATCGGTTCAGCACGCAGCAAACTCTGAGCAAAGGGAAAGCACAAGCTCAGACTCGGCCTCCTCAGGACTGAGACCAGGACCCTGTTGCGCTAGGCGCTGTCCATACGGATCGTGAGAGCTGCTGCCCGAAAGAGCTATTTTCATTTCCATGCTTCCTCTCCCCTTTTCCTTTTCTCCTATTCTTCTTCCCATGCTGGTTATATTTAGTGCTTTGCTAAAGACCTTAGGGCTATGCTAATCAGAGAGAGAAAAGACACAGTGGGCCAATCCTTGCTCAGAAAGGGGCGAGAGGGCAAAAGCAGATCAAAGGTCCCTTAATCCTGGGATAGTTGGGTGCAAAGTCAGTGTCTCAGCTTCAGGCTACTTAAGATGAAGTCAGCAGTTAACAACCCAATACAGCGGCTGGGGACCACTGGGGAAAGGAAGGCCTGGCTCTGTCCTCTTTCCCCAGGCAGCCTGGAGCGGGTGAGTGTAGAAGCTGCCACGCTGGCTCTATTCCACAAGTGGATCTCCCTACAGTGGTGTGATTTACCCATGCCAGCTGCGTGGCACTGGAGGATCTGGGCCCCATGAGTTCATTCCCCAGCTCGTGCAGGATTATTTCCTCCTAGTCATTTTCTCACACATTGTGCTTGTTGCTTTCCAAATTCCTGAGCAATACGGCTCCCATTCGTTCATTAGTCTGGAAGCACTGGTCACTGTCCCCGAGTTAAGGCTGAGTGGGTTTTGCACTTCAAGCAAGGCCTCTGCGATGTAGGGAGAAGGCTGCGTGTTCTCCCCACTCCCTCTTTGAGGACTAGATGAATTTTCTGAGCATCTGCAAGTAGATCGTTTAATTCGTTTATGAAAATGTATTTGTATTGAGGCAACACCGAGGAACCCCCAGTCCAGGGTCAGGGCCCCTTTGTGCTAGATGCTGTACAGACAAAGAAGGAAAGATGGTCTCTGCCCCAGACTGTTTATAATCCCCCAGCAGTTGATTCCACCTCTGAGTAGATTTCACTGTCAACGTTTTTCCTCTGCCTAATATTCAGCCACAGTTTTGTCGTTCTAAAGTTTGCTCCACATCACCCTCTTCTATCTAATTAGCTAGAAGATCTCCGAGTCATTGTGGACATAGGCGCTGACTCTGTGGGTGCTCCAGGGCTGGAGCACCCACGGGGAAAAATTAGTGGGTGCTCTGCACCCACCGGCAGCTAAGCTCCCCGCCCCCCCTGCCCCACCTCACCTCCTCCTCCGCCTCCTCCCCTGAGCGCGCCACGTCCCCGCTCCTCTCCCCTCCCTCCCAGCGCTTGCCGCCGCCAAACAGCTGTAGCAAGCTCGGGGAGGGAGGGGGGAGGAGAGGGAACTTGGCGCACTCAGAGGAGGAGGTGGGGAAGAGGCGGGGCTGGGGCGGGGATTTCGGGAAGGAGTCAAATAGGGGCAGGGAGGGGGCAGAGTTGGGGTGGGGACTTTGGGGAAGGGGTTGGAATGGGGGCGGGGCACGGGTGGAGTCGGGGCAGGGGCAGGGAGGGTCAAGCACCCACCGGTGCCATTAGAAGTTGGCGCCTATGATTGTGGAGAGTTCTCTGAAAACATCCACTCAATGTGCAGTGACAGTCAAAACCGCAAACAGAATATTGGGAATCATTAAGAAAGGGATAGATAATAAGACAGAAAATATCATATTGCCTCTATATAAATCCATGGTACGCTCACATCTTGAATACTGAGTGCAGATGTGGTCGCCCCATCTCAAAAAGATATATTGGAATTGGAAAACGTTCAGAAAAGTGCAACAAAAATTATAAGGGGTATGGAACGGCTTCTGTATGAGGAGAGATTAATAAGACTGGGACTTTTCAGCTTGGAAAAGAGATGACTAAGGGGGGATATGATAGAGGTCTATAAAACCATGACTGGTGTGGAGAAAGTAAATACGGAAGTGTTAAGTATTCCTTCTCATTACACAAGAACTAGGGGTCACCAAATGAAATGAATAGGCAGCAGGTTTAAAACAAACAAAAGGAAGTATTTCTTCACACAACACACAGTCAACCCGTGGAACTCCTTGCCAGAGGATATTGTGAAGGCCAAGACTATAACGGGGTTAAAAAAAGAACTAGATAAATTCATGGAGGATAGATCCATCAATGGCCATTAGCCAGGCTGGGCAGGGGTGGTGTCCCTAGCCTCTGTTTGCCAGAAGCTGGGAATGGGCAACAGGGGATGGATCACTTGATGATTCCCTGTTCTGTTCATTCCCTCTGGGGCACCTGGCATTGGTCACTGCCAGAAGACAGGATACTGGGCTAGATGGACCTTTGATCTGACCCAATATGGCCATTCTTATGTTCTTATCACCTGCTATTTATTCTTTTCTTCCTATCTTCCTCTTTCAATTCCCAGATGCCAGTCACGTCGCTGACTGCCCTGCTGGAAGGCACTCACAGCGAGGGGCAGCTTAGAAACCCGCAGAAAACAGGACAGAACTAGAGCTAGTTGAAAATTTCCACTGCAAATGTTTTTCAACAGAAAATAGGGTTTTTGCCTAATCAATTATTTTGCAAAAAGTGTCTATTTTCTGCCAAAAAAATCATTTTTTTCTCAAAAAAACTGAACACCTGAAAACCATTTTGGGGATGAAAATTGAATTCAGTTTGGAAATACTGCAGCAGTGCCTCATGAGAGTTGTAGTTCATAGAATCATAGAACTGGAAGGGACCATGAGAGGTCATCTAGTCCAGTCCCCTGCATTCAAGGCAGGATTAAGTATTATCTAGATCATCCTGACAAGTGTTTGTCTCATCTGCTCTTAAAAATCTCCAATGATGGAGATTCCACAACCTCCCTAGGCAATTTCTTCCAATGTTTAACCACCCTGACAGTTAGAAAGTTTTTCCTAATGCCCAACCTAACCCTCAGCCTTCTCTTTTCCGGATTAAACAAACACAATTTTTTCAATCTTCCCTAAGAGGTCATGTTTTCTAGACCTTTAATAATTTTTGTTACTCTTCTCCGGACTTTCTCCAGTTTGTCCACATCTTTCCTGAAATGTGGCACCCAGAACTGCACACAACATTCCAAGTTGAAGTCTTATCAGCACAGAGTAGAGCGAAAGAATTACTTCTTGCGTCTTGCTTACAACACTCCTGCTAATGCATTCCAGATTGTTTCTTCCTAAATGGAGTACTTTGCATTTGTCCTTATTTAATTTCATCCTATTTACTTCAGACTATTTCTCCAGTTTGTCCAGATCATTTTGAATTTTAATCCTATCCTCCAAAGTACTTGCAACCCCTCCCAGCTTGGTATCGTTCACAAACTTTATAAGTTTACTCCCTATGCCATTATCTAAATCATTGATGAAGATATTGAACAGAACCGGACCCAGCTTCCAGCTTGACTGTGAAATGCTGATAACTACTCTGTGGGAACAGTTTTCCAACCAGTTATACACCCACATTATAGTAGTTCCATTTAGGTTGTGTTTCTCTAGTTTGTTTATGAGAAGGTCATCCGAGATAGTATCAAAAGCTTTACTAAAGTCAAGATATATGACATCTACCTCTTCCCTCCTATCCACAAGGCTTGTTACCTGTCAAAGAAAGCTATTAGGTTGGTTTGTCATGATTTGTTCTAGACAAATCCATGCTGATTGTTACTTGTCACCTTATTATCTTCTAGGTGTCTGCAAATTGATTGCTTAATTATTTGCTCCATTATCTTTCTGGTTACTGAAATTGAGCTGACTGGTCTGTAATTCCCCGGGTTGTCCTTATTTCCCTTTTTATAGATGGGCACTATCTTTGCCCTTTTCCAGTCCTCTGGAATCTCACCCGACTGCCATGAATCGCTAATAGTTCAGATATCTCCTCAGTCCGCTCCTTGAGTATTCAGTTGCCTCATATCCACATTCTCCTCTATAGGCCAAGCTCTCTCTGGATGGACTACATCTCTCATGATGGATCATGGCCAGGCACTCCCATGATACACTGCTTCCTCTCCCCAAGAGAGGAGACTGAGGTGAATCATGGGAGTTGTAGTCTGACCAGGGAACCTGTCTCCTGGAGGAGAAATGGGAGCATGAGACACGGAAATTACAACTCCCATGAGGCAACACAGCAGTATTTCCAGACACAAATATTTTAGTTTTCAGCCAAAATATTTCAGCATTTGAATTTCTGCCAAAAAAAAATCAGTTTTTCACAGAAAAAAAAATTGTTTTGACCCTCTTACTCATTCTGTGATTTCTTTTCTTTTTAAAAATTGTCTTTTCTATCCCCAAAGGTTTTTCCTCACCCATATTTTTTCTTGCCCTCTCCTTTTACTATTACCTTTTCTTCAGTCTTTGCAGCACTTTTCTTTGTCTCTCCATTATACATTTTCTCCTTCTGTCCATCATCCCCAGTCCTATGTCCATGTCCCTCCTCCTAGCCCCGAGTCAGCCAGCCACTTAAGCACCTAAGTAATCTCCTCCCTATTCAACAAAGCACTTATGTGTGTGCTGACCTTTAAGCATTTGCATAAATCCCATTGAATTCAAGCCCATCCGTAAGCGCTTTGCTGAACTGAAACTGTCCCCTCACTCTGAGCTAGGACTGATTTTGGTTTTGACCACAGTTGAACAGCGACACAGTGTGAGCAAGACACAAGCAGAGTCCCCTGGGGACATGGTTGAGTTTGTTTTTTCTTGCATCAGATGAAGTGAGCTGTAGCTCACGAAAGCTCATGCTCAAATAAATTGGTTAGTCTCTAAGGTGCCACAAGTCCTCCTTTTCTTTTTGTGAAGACAGACTAACACGGCTGTTACTCTGAAACCTGTTTTTTCTTCTGTTTTCTATTGTAGAAATACTATGGGTTGTTCTCTGCCATAGATAACATTGTCCTGACTGTTCTTTCCTGTGAAGTGCTTCTCAACTGGTACTATGGATTCCAGATGTACTGGAAGGTGAGTGCTGAGCACAGCTGTTTAGATCCAATATTTCCTGGGCCATTAGCCACATTCCTGTTATTCTATCGCCCTATTCCCATTATCAGGGTCCCATTGCAACTCTTCCTTGCCCCTCTCCAAAGCCTACAATGTTGTGCCTCGAATTGTAATCACTTATCCTACCTGCCCCGCCAGGCTTTGCACAGGTCTTACCGTTCTGCAACATGATCATTGTTAGAGGTCAAAAATAATCATCGCCCTATATTTGATTGGATCAGGTCTATCAATCAAAGTATCGAAAGCAGGGGACATGCTGTCCAGAGGTTAAAAGCAGCCAATTGGGAATGAGGACTCCTGGGTTCAACTCTTGGTTATCAAATCACTCGGACCTTGGACAAGTTACTTTGCCTCTCTGTGACTCAGTTGCCCTGTCTGGGTCTAATAATCCTTACCTTCAACAAAGGGGCTTAATTATGCTTTGGGATGAAAGGAACAATATAAGCACTAAGTATATGCAAGATTATTACTTGCTTATAATAGAGAGCATATGTTTTAGATGCTTTGCAGTAAAACTAATACAGATTAAGGGCCTGCTCCTTCTCTTAAAGTCAGTGGGAATGTTACCATTGATTTTTTCAGTGAAATGACTAAAAGCATACTTGACAGGCATTTCATATCTGTGTGGAACTGTGAATAACGTCTATGGGCCGTGCCAAGGGCCTTCTGGAATAGAATTGTCTTTAAAAGAAACAAAAACAGTCCAAAAACAATGAGGAGTCCTTGTGGCACCGTAGAGACTAACAAATTTATTTGGGCATAAGCTTTCGTGGGCTGTAACCCACTTCATCAGATGCATGGGGTGAAAAAAAGTAGTCAGGTATAAATACACAACACATGAAAAGATGGGAGTTGCCTTACCAAGTGGCAGGTTTCAAAACCAGTCCAGGTTTCAGAGCTAGACACTTACTTACCTAGGGCCCAATTCTCCATTGTCCAGCACCTTGTGTAGTCGTTTGTTTAGTGCAAAGTGGGTGTGGCAGCACTACCATTCGGAGTCAGTGGTGTCGCACGTCCGCTTTGCACTGACGTAAAGGACTCCATCAGGTGTAGGACAGCAGAGAATCAGGCTCTGCATATTTTTCCTCCATCAGACCTCAGAACACTGAAAGGTGGGTAAGTAGCACTAACCTCATTTAACAACTGGGGAAACTGAGGCCCAGCGAGAGTGTCTTGTCCAGCATCACATAGTAAGATCATGACTGAGCTGGGAATAGAATGTAAAATCCTTCACATTCTTGATCTGGCGGTGACTGGTAAAATCAGAGTTCAGAGATGTTTTTATGGGTCAGATCCTCATCTGGTATAAGACAGAATTGTCCCATTGATTTCAACAGAGTGATGCGGATTCACACCCGCTGAGGATCTGGCCCTTCTTATTGGCAGGTTTCAAGCTGAGATGCACCCCCTCCCTCTGTTCTTTCATTATTACCATGTATTATATGTATTATGGTAGCTCCTAGAGGCCCCAATGTGGGATCAGGGCCCCGTTTTGCGAAGTGCTGTGCAAAAATACAGTCCCTGCCCCAGGAGCTTACAGTGTCATTACTCCTAGGGCCTGTGCCGACCAGCCCTGCTGTGAAAGCTTGTCCTCTGCTTCTCAGGGTGGGGTTTTCTCTTCCCGCAGGATGGCTGGAACGTCATCAATTTTTTTATCGTGGCATATCTCTGTGTGGGGCCTTTCATCTCTGTGCTGAACAACCAAAAGATTTTCTGGGTCCTCAGGTAGGGAAAGGGCTACTTTGACTTACAGCTTGTCAAGCTGTTATTATTTGTTTGTTGACAAGATCTTGGTAAAACACAGATCAGGCCCCATTCTGCGAAGTGCACATATTCCTAGGGTGTGTCTACCCTGCAGTTAGCAGTATATCTGCAGCATGTGTGGACATATCTATTGGCTCAAAGGTGGATCCAATTGTTTGACTACAGACATGTTTTGTTCTTAAAAATGTTCAAGAGTCCAAATAACCAAACATAGCCAATTTTATTGTTCCAGGAAACACAGTACAATATGGAAAGGAGACACAGATGCCCTCCTTCTGGAAAGCAAATTCTTGCAGCATGTCCACCTTACACAGCCGGCGTGCTTCCTAGATTTGCATTTCAGCTAATAGCATTTAAAGGTTGATTTCCCAAGTTACAAAACTTTTCACACATCACTCAAATCCAACCCACCCTGTTCCTTAACTTGCAGTTCTGAACTTTCCTTCTCTTCGTTTTGGATACCGGCATTCCAGGTACTGCTCTGAGAAAGTACCTCCCCAGCTCGAACCAGGCAGAACATTCATGTATTTTGCCTTTGACAGGTTCCCTATTTTCTAATGCCAAAGCACACTTTAGCTTTGCAAAGTGCTGTGGGATACCTGACGTCGGTGAACAGAATTGTGGGAAGAGCAGAATACTTAACATAACTTCCCAACACTTATATTCATTCCATGCACATAATACTTATAAGCCTGGTGTATACTATGCCTAACATACATACATTGGCTAACATACCCCAGCTAGCTTTGATCTGGCTACCGCCAATAACAGCAGCGATGCTGCAGCAGCCTGGGTTGTACAATGCCACTCAGGACCCTGGCGATGTAGTCAAATGACTAGCCCATGCTATCACCTATGCTGTTGCCAATCCACTGATACTGTTACTGAAGCTAGCTAAATCAAAGCTAGCTCAGGTATATCTACTATGCTGCACTCACACCTCTGACTGCAGTGAAGTCCCTGCCCCAAAGAGCTTACAGTCTCGATAGGTCAGACAAAAGGTGGGAGGGGAAACTGTGGCATGCAGTGAGGCAGTGACTTGCCCAGAGTTGCACCGCCAGTCAGTGGCAGAATTGAGAGCTCCTGTGGGTATTGCTGGTTGGGACTTGTTTGACAAATTGTTTTTGAAAAATTGAAAAAATGCCAATTTGTCAAGACAGAAACTGTTCGCAAAACAGGGTTGGGTTTGGCGAATCTCCCGACTCGATAAAAATGTTCAGGAAACGTTTTAGAACTATCAAAATGTTTCGTTTCAACGCTTTCGGAAAGAAAACGCCCAGTTTTCTGGTTCAGAACAGCATTTCATTTCAGAATTTAAGCTAATGAGACCGAAAAAAGTTCCAAAAGAGAGGAGGTGAAAAAAAGGTTGGAATCAAAACCAAAATATTTCAAAATGATTGGGAAAAAATGGTTTCAATTGACCCACTGTGGGGAAAAAAAGGTTTCGATTGACCCAACGTGGGGAAAAAATATTGCTTCATTTAGCAAATATTGGTGAATTTTCAACGTTTCATCCCGATCTGAGATGGGACAAAGTTTGGGACTCTTGAGAGGGAACAACGTTTCCTGCCCAGCTCTGGCTGAGTCCCAGCGTTGGAGCCTGAGCTCTCTCCAGACCGAAGTGGGTCTCTAAGAAAGAAAATGATCCCGGGCAGAGCAACCCCAGCACTGCACTGCGAGTCCCGGGGTCTACAGCAAACTTGGAGTCCACTCGTGGGAATGTCGGCCTCATTGACGTGTCCCCGCTCCCACAGTAAATTTGGGTGAGGTTACGCTTGAAACGCTGCAACAGCACAGCTGCGATGCTTCAGGACAGCCACTTGTTACCGCGACCAGAGGATTAATTACTGTCACTGTAATTAATCCCCCTGCCTGAGGCAGTCGCTAGGTCAAGGGAAGAATTCTTCCATCGACCTAGCACTGTCGACACCAGGGGTTAGGTCGGCTTAACTGCGTTGCTCGGGGGTGTGGATTTTTCACACCCCTGAGTGCCGTAGCAGGTCGACTTAACTTTTGCGTGTTGACTGGGCCATAGTGGCAGAGCTGGGTGTGGAACCCAGAAAATCCTGGCTAGCAGATTTCTGCTCTCGTTCCTGTGTTGAGCTATGCTGTCCTTGCTGGCCTGAGCCGTGGGAGGAGCTGCTTGGATTCTGGAAGCCCCGAAAGATTCTTCCAATGGTTTTTCTTCAAAGTCACGTGGACCTGGCATCATCTCCCTACCGGCACACGCTGCTCACGACTCCTCTGTCTCTTCTCAGGGTGATGAGGCTGATGCATGTCTGCACGCTGGTCAAGGGGCTGGCCAGGATCATCCGGGTGATCCTACAGTCCATCCCAGACATGACCAACATCATGGTCCTGCTCTTTGCCATCATGCTGGTGAGCTAGTCAAGCCCTTTGGGTGGGGCCCAGTATAAAACTGGAGTTCTCCCTCCTTCCTTCCCTTTCCACTTCCCTTCTTCTCCTCTATGTCTTTCCTCTTCTCCTTTCATTCCACTTCCTCCTGTTTCCCGTCCCCTCCACCGTGGGCCTTCTGGTTGGAAGCACCACACAGTGCTGTGCCGGGGGTCCACAAACAGCGGTGGGAGCTGGCCTGTTTGTGAATGGCATCAAAGAGCCTTCATCTTAACCTGGTGCAGTAAGCGGGAGATCCACAGGCGCCGCCTTCCTCCTTGCCCCAGGGGTGCTCAACCCCGGCGCCGCCCCCGGCCCCACCCCTGCTCCACCCCTTCCCCCAAGCCCCCCGCCCTGCCTCTTCCCACTCACTTCCGTCCTGTTCCTGCTCCCACCCTTGCCTCCCAGCACCTCCTGCATGCCCCAGAACAGCTGATTGCGGCAGGCGGGAGGTGCCAGGAGGGAGGGGGAGAAGTTGATTGGTGGGTGGTGGGCGGGAGGCACTGGAGGGGAGTGGGGAAGGGGGAGCTGGCTGCCGGTGGGTGCTAAGCTAATTTTTTTCCATGGGTGCTCCAGCCCTGGAGCTCCCCCAGAGTCAGCGCCTATGAGGAGATCTGGTTAGGGATCTCTGAGCTGCCTGTGGACTCTACCAGGGGTAGATTAAGGTAGCAGTTGGATGGTGAAAGGGTGTGGATCAGCCTAGAACAAGCACAGAGTTCAAGGAGAGAGAGAGAGAAACCTAGTTCCGGAAACGCCCACCTGCCTCCGAGCCCTAGTCTGTGAGGGGTTTGTTTTACGGTAGATTTGTGGGAGGTGGCTGCTCATTTTAGCTGTCTGAGGCTGACCATGGGTCTCGGGCTGGAGCTGGCCAGAGCTTCCGGCCAGCGCTATCTCTCTGCAGGTCTTCTCAGTGTTTGGAGTGACTCTGTTTGGAAATCTGGTCCCGATGCACTTTGGAAATCTAGGGGCGGCTTTGTATTCGCTCTTCACCTGCCTCACGCAGGACGGATGGATGAACATATACGAGACCTTTGTGTGAGTGAACACGTTAGGTTTCAGATGCACCCCCACATCCACCATAGGGAAACAAGCCCCCCCCACAGCATATTCTTGCAAGAGGAGTGCACCCCCACTGACAAACACACACAAGCAAACAGCACAATGCTCTCCTCCTCTTTGCAATACACAGACACACTCAGAGATAGCTAATGCGTGCACACGGACACACCCACAAGCAGGTAATGTAATCCATACTAGGAGAGTGAGTGTGGGTCTTTGGGCTCCTTCCATCTCGGAGGATAAGAGCCTACTACAAGTACCACCTAACAACTTCCCTCCTTTAGCTCAGGTGATAGAAACTGATGCCATTGGTGCTAAAGATTTGGGGTTCAAGCTCTGCTGGTGACCCATGGCAGTGGATTGTTACGTAGATACAAGCAAGCCTCTGCGGTCAAACCCTTTCCTTTGTCCTAATTATTTCAAGCCAATTTGAGAGGGTCTTTAATTGTGATCCGAGCAGGGGAAAAGCCTGGGGTGTTTGGGCAGAAGTTAGGGTGACCAGATAGCAAGTGTAAAATATCGGGATGGCGGTGGGCGGTAATAGGTGCCTATATAAAAAAGCCCCCAAAATCGGGACTGTCCCTATAAAATCAGGACATCTGGTCACACTAGCAGAAGTGGGAAGTCTGACCCCCATGTGGGACCTTGGATGGCCTGCTTTTCCTTTCACATGGGGGGTGAGAGGGAAATGCGGGAGGTTCCCTCTAGTTGGGGCTTAGAGGAAGATTGGCAGGACTGCTTCCCTTCTCCTGATTTGGGAAACAGAGGGGGGATGGGTGGGGCTCCCCTCTGCATAAGTCTCTGAAGGCTTTACAGGAAGGTTTTGCAGAGTATCCCTGCTGCTCACCCCCATGAATGAAATTCCTTCTGTCCCCATCAGGGAAGAGGGGATCGCCCTGAAAATAGGGGGTGCCCTTTACTTTTTCATCTTCATCACGGGCGGGGCCTTTATCTGCACCAACCTGCTGGTGGCCGTGGTGACGTCAAATCTCGAGCAGACAATGCTCACCTACGCCGAGGAGAAGAAGAAAAGAGACCAGCTCCTCTACCCTGACAAGTATGTGGACCAGGAGGTGAGTGCCGGGCGCAGCCAGTGTGATGGTTGAATCCTGAGGCTTTTGCTCAGGTTTTGCTCCCCACTAGGAGTTATACCTGAGTAAGGACTGCGTGAACATTGATGAAGGAAGAACCTCAAGATCTGGCCCTAGAGTATTAAAGCAAAGCACTGTAGCTTGAAAAAATTCAAAGATCCTGCATTTTAGGGTGAGCTACAGACCAAAACACAAATGCCCCAAAATCAAAATTTGGAAATGCTGCCATGGTGCCTCATGGGAGTTGTAGTTCAGTTGCTGTATGTTCCCATTCACGTCTATGGGTTGGGCTCCCCAGCCAGACTACATCTCCCATGATGCACTGCCTTGTCTCTCCAAAAGGGGAGCCTGTGGTGCATCGTGAGAGGTGTAGTCTGACCAGGGAGCCCCTTTTTTGACTAGCTGTACTACAGTCTCCTATTGGGGATCGCATTCCTGTGCTGAGAGCCAGCACAAGGTCTGGGCACTCCACTGAAAATCGGTATTGGAGGCTTGAGGGTACGTCTACACTACAAGAAAAAGCAACCGGCAGCAGCGAGTCTCAGAGCCCGGGTCACCTGACTCAGGCTCCCGGAGCTTGTGCCATGGGGCTAAACATAGCAGTGTAGGTGACTGGGTTTGGGTTTGAGCCCAAGCTTTGAAACCCTCCCACTGCACTGGGTTTCAGAGCCTGAGGTCCAGCCCAAGTGGGAAAAGCCACACTGCTGGTTTTAGCCCTGCAGCGCAAGCTCGAGTCAGTTGACCCAGGCTCTGAGACTTGCTCCCCTGAGTCTTCTTTTTGCAGCATAGACATACCCTTCAGGACATTCATATGGTGCCTGGAACCTGCACACAGGTTAACTTCACCAGGGAAGAGCCATTATGCCTGCACAGCATGGCAGTGGTTGAGCGCGACCCAGTCCCTTCTCTGAGCTCATCAAGAAAGGTACCAACCAGAGCTGAGCAAAGTTCCAGAATTTCTGTCCCAGGGGAAATCCCAATAGGTCAACTTTTGCTTGAGTCCCAAATTGTGAGGACATGTCAAAACCCCGACGCTTTGCTCAGGGTGAAATATTCTGAAACATTTCAGTTTGACATTTTCAATCAAAATTAAACACTTCAGCTGTCTGAAAGAGAAATGTCTCATTTTGGTTCTTTGAACTAAATCAAAACCCTTTATTTCGAGCCAGTTTGACATTAAACTGCAGTGTGCCTTATTGTGACACATTGCTTCGTGAGATTTATATTTCAGAAGCCTGATACACCCATTCTTCACGACTGGCCAGATCCCTGGTTGAACAAAATGTCTTACGATGCACCATGTGATTCCTGGGAAGCACCACACAGCTGGTTTAGAGGGCTGGTTTAGAGGGGAGTTCATAATATCGTCCCTCAAAGAGCCCAGTCCGTTGGAGAGAATACGCTACAATAGGGAGGTGCAGTTTAGTGTTGCAACTGGCTCGAAAAGAAAAATTTGGGGTCAGTTCCATAAAATGAAATACTGTGATTGGGGTTGAACCAACTTGGATCATTCCTGACAAAATCAAAAAAATGTCAGCAAAATTGACATTTTCCTGTGGAAAATTTTGATGTTTGTGGAAACTGCATTTTCTATTGGAAAATTCCATGGGCGACAGGGGATGGATCACTTGGTGATTCCCTGTTCTGTTCATTCCCTCTGGGGCACCTGGCATTGGCCGCTGTTGGAAGACAGGATACTGGGCTGGATGGACCTTTGGTCTGACCCAGTATGGCTGTTCTTATGTTCCTTCAGTCCAATGTTGGGGATGACGACTCATCTCCGGAGCTGAACCTGGTGCATTTGAAAGCAGTGATGCAGGATACAGCCATGACACATCGCCAGATGCCACTGATCTATGGCAACCTGGGCAACCTGACTGAAGCTACCTGTGATGATTTCTGTCTCATCTTGGAAGGGATCCAAGAGAACCTGAAACGATACAAAGAGATCCGGGATGAGCTTAGCACGTAGGTCCTTCCGCGCACACCCCTCTCCTGTGCCGGGTTTGGGATCTCCCTGGTGGGCAGGGTCAGGGTCAACTTAGTTATATTTCACTTCATCAAAGCAACACAGGGCAAATGCAGCCACCCAGACTCCAGAGAGGGAGACCTATGTGCCGTGGGGGGAGAGCTAAGTCTATGATCGTGTGAGTGGCTGGGTGGGGCTTATGGCTCTCAGTTGACAGATCTTCCGGTATTAACATTACACCTTTGAAAGTGCCACGTCTTGGGTTCTGTGGCAGGAGAGTACTGGTGGAAGAGCATGACTTTGAAACCCAGGGAGGAGAGTTGGTGGGTAAAGGGCAAAGCTCAGAGCCTTGGCCCTAGGACCATTAGAGAATTGGAGGATGATGTACTCAGTGGTGGCAGAAGCTCGTGGCTCCGCTGTCTGTGTAAGAACGGGCTATCAGCATTGGGGTACGGGCTGTCGTACCCTCGGGGCAAGACTATAGTAACAGAGCAGGCACAGCTTCCTCAAGCTGCCCCCCATCATCATGCCTCAGCCTTACCTTGGGGATCACCTCTAGGGCATTCAGCCTCCACGGTCCATCAAGTCCTAGGCTCCTTCACTGAAACCGCCAACAGGGCCCACAGCATGCTCATCGCTGTTCGTTCTGGACACTTCTCCACTAACCCTGTGTTGAGACCACCAAGGTCATGTCCTACAGGCATCTCTGTCACTCCTAATCTAGGACGGATGCAGACCTGCAAGGTAGAGGCAGTGAGCCCCACTGCTATCTCCTGAGCTATCTAGTCCTCTGGCTGACTAGTACTTGATGAGGGGAGCTTCTAGGCTTGGGGCCTCTGGAGCAGAACTTCTTGGGTGACAGTTCTTGATCTCAATAGCATGGAGGGGACAGTATGTCAGCATCTAGCCTGGGAGATGAAGTTTGGAAGGAGATGGCCTGACCCAAAGCCCAGTGGAAAGACTCCCAGCAGTGTCAGTGGGCTGTGATGCAGGACCATACTGCTTTAATGGTTGAACCTTACTGTCATGGGGTCCAGGAAAGAGAGCTTGGGGCATGTGGTGGTGAAGTTTCCTGGGGAAGGAGAATCTGAAGTGGTGATCTTAAGGTCTCATTCTCTACTGCCTTGAGGATGGGAGAGTGGAAGACTAGGCCATTTGGGGAGTGGAAGCCCTGCAGTAGAGACTTGGAGATGAGTGTGTTTGGTGGTGGAAGTGGATTTTCTCAGAGCTGCAGAAGAACTGGGGGTGAATGTACTTGCTGGCAGAAGCTCACTGCTTACCTACCCGGCTTGGTCCCCACAGAATAGTCAAGGAGGTAAGGTCCATTGCATTCAATAAAGAACAGGAGGAGGAGAGGGTGCTGAGAAACATGCAGAACACCAACATCTCCGATGGCCTGCTTTGCAACGAGGTGGCTGCTGGGAGGTCTGGAGATATCCTGTCCACGCTGATGACTCTGGAGAAGGTACAGTATAGAGCCAGATTCATAGATTCATAGAATATCAGAGTTGGAAGGGACCTCAGGAGGTCATCTAGTCCAACCCCCTGCTCAGAGCAGGACCAAACCCCAATTTTTGCCCCAGAACCCTAAATGGCCCCCTCAAGGATTGAACTCACAACCCTGGGTTTAGCAGGCCAATGCTCAAACCACTGAGCTATCCCTCCTCCCTAAGGCCTAATCTTCAGATGGTGTCAGTGGAGGTCAGTGGTGCCTACGCCTCGTGCTCTCTCTCTCTGCCCCGGGGTGAATTTCACTCCCTGTGCAGGGCTATGCGCCCTCCACGCTGACTGATTTCAGCTGCAGTTGAAAGTACCGTGGCCCCTTTGCATGAAATGTGCAGCTAGCATAAGATCCCAAACCTCTTGGAGGAGGGCAAGGGACTGCAGGGGTAAAGGCAGCAGTCTGGTTTCTGCGCTGGGGTAGAACTGGCCTTTGCTTATCAGCCTTGTTCTTTTTCCCTTCGGTAGGCGAACATGATTGACCCAGAGGATGTCACGGCATCAGGGTACCACAGGGGGGCAGTGAAGATGGCCTTCCTGAAAGCCCGGCGCCATTCTCTTCTCAGCCAGTCAGTCCCTCCTTAGCCGTGCTGGAGTGGGACCACGGAGCTGTGAGTGGGAATCGCCCCCTGGACCGTGCAACCGAGGATCTGTTAGTGGAGCTGCGGCGTAAATGTTTCCTTTGTAACAAGGGGGGATTTATTTGCTTTGCTGAGGAGACGCTTCTGTCTTTGGGATACCGAGGAGCGAGTGTGGACAAGGGGTCAGCGCTCCAAGGACCACGCATCATGAAATACCAGCTTCTAGGTGGACAAAGCCGGACCTGGAGGAGTGGCAGGAGATTGGATTAATGCCAGGTCTGTCAGGTTTGCTGAGTCCATTTGGATGACTCTGATCTGGCCTGGAGTGTCTCTTGGATGGAGACCATGTCCAGAGTATTCATGGTCTGGTGCCTCCAAAGCACAAAGCAAAGAACATCAGGGAGAGAAGAGTTGCTGCAGAGCCCGTGCCTGTGGTCAGAGCATCGGCTCCCACCCTCTTTCCCAGAGCACTTGGGCATGTGTCTGTGTAAGTCTCGGGGGAATTCACCTTTGGGTACCTTTGTATAGGTGAGAACAGAGCCCTCCAGGTGGTAAGAGCAGGGATGCAGGATGAAGCATTGGGTGTTCATGCTTGTGCCTGTAAAAAGGGGCTTCTCTTGCAGCATCAGGAGCGGACGCAATGTCTAAATCTGAGAAATGTGTGGTGGAGCAGAAGATGTATCCATCCCGTTGTCCTGGCTGATGTCTCCTTGAGACTCTACCAACAGGCAGCTACAGGGAAGTCCAGGGCTAGTTTGCGCAGGCCCTGTCCTGTGCAGTGAGTGGAAAAGGGCTGATGAAATTATTTTCCACTTTTAATACCCATTATCAAGTTCTGGACCATGTTCCCTGCCTTGGCTGCTCGTGATGGTGAATGACACAACCCAGTGAGGTGCTGACATGTCTCCTGTATGGGATTGTTTGACTTTCCAAAGCCAGGAGGTGCTCCGTCTCACATCTGCATTTCCCACCCAGTGCTCTGCAAACTCCAGGCGCAGAAGGAGATTGCTCTGCTTCAGCTGTGTCTGCCCCCATGTTCTCTGGACTGGATGCACTCTAGCACTCATGTAGCCATGCATTAAAATGAGCAGTGTCTGGGGAAAGTAGCTGGTGCCAGCATATTTGAGGCTAATACTTGTCAAGAAATGCATGGCTCGTGTCGATCAGCTGTGATGCTTGTGCTGGTCTCGGATGAATGATCATAATAAAGAGCATTGAGCTGTGTTTCTGTGGCCGTTATGTTCCCGTTTCACCTTGTTCAGTGTTTTGAGTCTAAAGGATGTCTGCCCTGTGACTGCAGTATATGTGTGACATTCTATAGCTTGGGGGAGCATCCTGTAACCCCCATATTCCTCATTTTTATATAATTGTGATCTTACGTATAAAGCAGGCCACGTGAGGTATCAGCGTAAAGGCTTTGATCTGCTGAAAATCATTTCTCTATCCATATATGTGTATCATTAATGCATATGAAGTTATGAGAATTGTGTTGGATGGTTTTCACTAAAACATGCTGTAAGTTGGGTAAGCAGCCAGATATTAGCTCCTCGGAGGCAACAGCAAGGGAAGTAACCAACACCCGGGCAAGGTGACAAACAACCATTGTCCACCAAGGGAGCTACAATTCAATGACCCACCTACATGAGGCCACATGCTCAGCCTTGCCTGGAGACTCAGCAATGCTCCCCAAGCACATGGGACTGAAGCTATAAAACAGAACACAGTGGCCACATTCTGGGCCTTTCTCCTTCACCCACCTATGCTGCAAGCAACAAGGACACTGAACAAGACTTGGGACTACAACAGAGGAGACTGGCCCAGATTTAAGGGACAAATCTGTATAGTAAGGACTGCAGTATCCAGTGGGGTGAGAAAAACTGCTTAATCTACATGTTGCCCAGTCTAATAGGGTTCAGAGATTAGACTGCATGCTTATATTTTCTTTTCTTTTGGTAACTAACTCTGACTTTTTGCCTAACAGTTATAGTCACTTAAAATCTATCTTTTGTAGTCAATAAATTTGTTTAACTGTTTATCTTTACCAATCAGTTTATATGAAGTGTGGGGCAAATCTTCTCAGGTTTTGCAAAGACTGGTGTATATCCACTTTCCATTGATGAAGTGGTGAACCAATTAATAGATCTGCATTGCTCACCTTGAGTAGTGCAAGGTGGTATATTACTAGGGTACAGTGCCTGTCCTGTAGTAGGTGACTTCTGGGTACTCTTCTGGCTCTGTCAATCTGTTTCTTCACTTCAGCAGGTGGGTATTGTAGTTCTAAGAATGCTTGATAGAGATCTTGTAGGTGTTTGTCTCTGTCTGAGGGGTTGGAGCAAATGTGGTTGTATCGTAGAGCTTGGCTGTAGACAATGGACCATGTGGTGTGGTCTGGGTGAAAGCTGGAGGCATGTAGGTAGGAATAGCAGTCAGTAGGTTTCCGGTACAGGGTGGTGTTTATGTGACCATCGCTTATTAGCACTGTAGTGTCCAGGAAGTGGATCTCTTGTGTGGACTGGTCCAGGCTGAGGTTGATGGTGGGATGGAAATTGTTGAAATCATGGTGGAATTCCTCAAGGGCTTCTTTTCCATGGGTCCAGATGATGAAGATGTCATCAATATAGTGCAGGTAGAGTAGGGGTGTTAGGGGACGAGAGCTGAGGAAGCGTTGTTCTAAGTCAGCCATAAAAGTGTTGGCATACTGTGGGGCCATGTGGGTACCCATAGCAGTGCCGCTGATTTGAAGGTATACATTGTCTCCAAATGTGAAATAGTTATGGGTGAGGACAAAGTCACAAAGTTCAGACACCAGGTTTGCCCAGAAGTCACCTACTACAGGACAGGCCTAACAAAGAAAATAACAGAACGTCACTAGCCGTCACCTTCAGCCCCCAACTAAAACCTCTCCAACGCATCATCAAGGATCTACAACCTATCCTGAAGGACGACCCATCACTCTCACAAATCTTGGGAGACAGGCCAGTCCTTGCCTACAGACAGCCTCCCAACCTGAAGCAAATATTCATCAGCAACTACATACCACACACCAGAACCACTAACCCAGGAACCTATCCTTGCAACAAAGCCCATTGCCAACTGTGCCCACATATCTATTCAGGGGACACCATCATAGGGCCTAATAACATCAGCCACACTATCAGAGGCTCGTTCCCTTGCACATCTACCAATGTGATATATGCCATCATGTGCAAGCAATGCCCCTCTGCCATGTACATTGGTCAAACTGGACAGTCTCTATGTAAAAGAATAAATGGAAACAAATCAGACATCAAGAATTATTACATCTCTCTGGTCACGCGATTACAGACATGAAAGTTGCAGTATTACAACAGAAAAACTTCAAAACCAGAGTCCAGCGAGAGACTGCTGAATTGGAATTCATTTGCAAATTGGATACAATTAACTTAGGCTTGAATAGAGACTGGGAGTGGCTAAGTCATTATGCAAGGTAACCTATTTCCCCTTGTTTTTTCCTACCCCCTTCCCCCTCCCCCCATTCCTCAGACGTTCTTGTTAAACCCTGGATGTGTGCTGGAGATGGCCCACCTTGATTATCATACACATTGTAAGGAGAGTGATCACTTTGGATGAGCTGTTACCAGCAGGAGAGTGGGGTGGGGGGAGAAAACCTTTTGAAGTGATAAACACCCATTTTTTCATGGTCTGTGTGTATAAAAACATCCTCACTGCATTTTCCACTTTTATGCATCCGATGAAGTGATCTGTAGCTCACGAAAGCTTATGCTCAAATAAATTGGTTAGTCTCTAAGGTCCCACAAGTCCTCCTTTTCTTTTTGTGAAAGCAGTGAAGCGATTGCGAAGTTGGAGCTTTTTAGGCTGTAGGTTGCAAAAAGGAGAGGGAGCACCAGCAAATATTGGAACTGAAAGAACTGGAGAAGGAGAAGCAGGGAGAAAGAGAGTGAAAACACCAACTGGACCTGCTAGAGAAGCAGAACCAGAACCCACCGACCCCAGCGATTCCCATCACTCCAAAAATCCACAATTGGGACAATTTATGTCCTGCATACAATGAGGCAGATGATATTGATGAATATCTGACCACCTTTGAAAGGCTGCGTGCAGTGCATGAAATCCCTGATGCCAAGAGGATTCCTACCCTGATTGCAAAATTAACTGGTAATGCTCTAAGTGTATTCAATGAAATGCCCATTGAGGATGCTTTAGACTATTGTAAATTTAAAAACACTGTTTTGCAAAGGTTTCAGATGAACCCTGAAACATATAGAGTTAAATTTGGGAATCTTAAGAGGATATTGGTATGAGTAATGGGGAATATGTGAACAAAATGAAAGATTTGATGGGAAAATGGGTGAGGGGCAAAGCTTTGAGGGAATGTTTGATTTGGTTGCTCAAGAGCATTTCCTAAGCATATGTAAGGCTGATGTAAAGCAGTGTCTATGGGACAAAAATATTAAGTCTGTGGATGAGATGGCGTCTCTAGCTGATGCTTTTGAACAGAGCCAGGCATCTGTTGAAAGCAAACCACTGAAAGAGGTGTTTAAAGCTGGTGGGAGGGGAGGATCCCGTTTTATCCCTAGCAAGGAGGAGGGTGGCTGGGAGGCTGGGCACTCACCTCCCCCAAACCATTCCTCTAACCCTCATCTCAAATCTCCTGTAAAAGCAGAAGAGCCCAAAAGGTGCTATCTGTATAATTCCTCCCTGTGCTAGGAGGAAGCAGGCAACCAATAGCTCATGTTAGTTCTTGCTGTCCTCAACACAGAACTCCCCCCAAGCAATTGGAACCTATCATACTGGTTTTGTGAGATTAGCCTCTGCAGAGCCAGATATGGAGCATGTTAAGGTTGTCAAAATCAATGGCAGGGAGTACTTGGGGCAGAAGGATACAGGGGCCCAGATCTCTCTGGTTAAGCAGAGTGTGGTCCCAAAGGCCAGTATGTTACCTGGCCAAATGGCAGAGATTGTGGGGGTGGGTGAAAGCAGATTCCTCGTACCACTAGATAAAATCCATGTGGTGTGGGAAGGTTTGGAAAGTGTTTTAACTGTGGGGGTAATGGAACACCTCCTAGCTGACCTGCTTCTTGGTAATGATTTTTGCTGTGTAGCTCGGGTCACACTATGACCGCAGCTTGTGTAGGCATATCTAAGACAGCTTTACTCTAGCTAGCTTGGGTTCTGGAGGAGCAGAACCGTGGCAACACAGGCTTCCATGTGGGCTAGCCCCGTGAGTAATTATCCAGGGCTTCGGGTGGGTTTCGGACACAGCGTCACAGCTACTGGGGCTCATGCTAGCTAGATTAAAGCTGGTTTCTGTATGTCTAAATGAGCTGCAATCAAGCACAGTAGCCAGGCCCTTAAGTGAAACAGAGTTGTTGCAGGTGGGAGATTAGAGACATTGATCACTCCAGCCCCGGACCCTGAAAAGTTGAGAGGGCTCTGAACCTTGCAGGCCTCTGTGTGAGGCGGCCATCGACAGACAGCCGATCTGCTAGTCTGCTTTGCACAGGTGTTATGTGAGGAAGTCAGTGCTAACGTTACACTGAAATACCCCGAGATCCACAACGAATGGCAGCGCACATGAATGTCTAACAAAGCGCTTAACCCCTAGGTCACCTGTCTTTCAAGATCTATTGCGTGGGATGGAAATCTTCTCCTCATTTGTCCTATAGCTCTGCAGTGGGGAAAACAATGAACAGAATCATAACAAGCCTATGCACATGCATCCTAGCACACTCCAGACCTGGATGCCGATCAGAGGCTAATGGTCCCAAATGTGTACGCTTTCCCGCCACATCAAACCATTCTCTACTTGCTTGGAGATGGACTGCCAGAGTGGGAGGAGTTAGTGAAGGATGAGAGAAGAGCTATCACATCTCGATGTCAAACCAGATGGACATTTGTCAGATTGACATGTGGGTATTAGAATTTTTACTTACATGTAATTAGTGTTATTCTGTAAGATGCCAATGGAGGAGGGAGGTCTCCAGCCCAAAGATAATCACAGACCTCACTGAAGCCAGTGGGGGTACCCTTTCTTTCAGGCTCCACAGAAGAAGCAATCAAACCCCTTTGTGTAGTAAAAATAGCTGGGAGCTAAGGGGCTACTGCCAAGGCAATAGGCCGCATGTTGGCAGGTCAGAGCTAAGCCATGTGGGCTGAAGGATTTCCCTGGCTAGGATATTGGTTGCAGGCTTGCATGTGCATTGGCAGGGAAAGCCAGGAGAAGGAGATGAGAGTATGATAATGAGAAGAAACTGAGCAGGGATGGAAAATCTTGGGCACAGAACTCGCTGGAGCGGTAGACCTGGGGATTTCTGAGCAAGGAAACTGCCTGCAGTTCTTGGATTCAGGGAAACAAGGCTTTGGTTACAGTTTGTTGTAAACAGACAAGATCACACCAAGAATAGACCTGATTCTTGTCAGCCATTTCTCATCCTATTGGGAATGATCCTGGAAGGCCCCGAACTTTTGACTCACCGCGTGGGCCAAAGGGGCAACGTTATTATCCCGAGTCTCGGCCCAGACTTGCAGTCTCAGGTGGCTGGTGGCAGGGGCATTTTAATGTAGTTTAAAGTGGGGACAAAATTAAGGTTGAGATTTTCAAACAAATGTAGGGGAGTTAGACACTCAAATCCCCTGTTCCTTTGAAAATCTTGGCCTAAATACATAAGAGCAGTTCAGAATCAGAGAGACAAGGTGGGGGAAGGAATCTCTTTTATTGGACGGACATCTGTTGGTGAGAGAGACAAGCTTTTGAGCTAACACCAAGTTCTTCTTCTGTCCTGGGAAATGTACTCAGAAATACAAGGTGTTTCCCACCGATCTTGTCTCTCTGATATCCTGGGACCAACCCGGTTACAACAACACTGCAAAGAGTTCAGAATCAGACCCACTGAAAACTAGAGAGTCAAAATGAGACACCCTGGCACAAAGCGATCAAGCAGGCTACAGATAATACCTTTAGACAATCACAGCAGCAACACGATTATTATTTCTGGTTTCAGAGGAACAGCCGTGTTAGTCTGTATTCAAAAAAGAAAGGGGAGCCTGTGGGAGACTAACCAATTTATTTGAGCATGAGCTTTCGTGAGCTACAGCTCACTTCATCAGATGTATGCCGTGGAAACTGCAGCAGACTTTATATACACACAGAGAATATTCTCTGTGTGTATATAAAGTCTGCTGCAGTTTCCACGGTATACATCTGATGAAGTGAGCTGTCGCTCACGAAAGCTCATGCTCAAATAAATTGGTTAGTCTCTAAGGTTCGCACACAAGTACTCCTTTCCTTTTTATTATTATTTCTATTACACTAGTATCTAGTGACAGTGTTTTGTCCCCTATAAGGGATCGTGGGAATCTTCTGAAACCTTGTGTTCTAGAAGTTCTAGAGCAGCTGAGGGGCCTAGGAAATGGCAAAAGCAGATGCTGGGAGAGAGAAAGTGGTCCCAGGATACTAGTGTCTGGGGGAAAATCCAAGTTACTATTTCTTTAAGGGCCTGGGTCCAGTAGACTTGTGCTGTAGGGTGGGACAAAGCTCCGCTCTCTCTCAGCCAACAGGACAAGTTCTGGGAAAGAGGACAGATATAATCTGCCTCTTCCTTCATAGCGAGAGAGTTGCTAGCAGGAGAAAGACTTCTTACCTCTGCCAGCCCAGGGGGAAAAGGCCTGAGCTGGTTTGACTTTGGTCTCCAAGTGATGAGGATGGTTGGAAGACATCAGGGTGGAAAGGACTTGGTTATGAAGAAATAGACCCGCTCCGAAGGGGACTGTTGCTCTAACTACTCTGGACTTTGCAAAAGTTGGTGGGACACCCAGGAGGGAATTGAGGGTTAGGGTATGCTCTGAAGATGGCGTCCTGCCACAGGCCTCATTGCACTGGGTGCTCTACACTCACAAAGGGCTTGTCTACACTTCAAACACTACAAGGGGCACAGCTGGGCCACCGTAGTGCTTCATTGTAGACATGACCTGTGGTGATGGGAGGGGTTCTGCCGTTGGTGTAGGGAATCCATCTCCCCGAGAGCCAGGAGCTAGGATGATGGATACATTTTTCCAATGACTCAGTACTGTCTGCATGAGGACTTCGGTTTTTCATAGTTATGAGTAACACAGTTATGCTGACCTAATTTTCTTGTGTAGACCAGGCCAAAGAGACAGGCTGTGCCACAAAGAGCTTACAATCCAGGCAGGAGCAAAGAAGACCGTAGTCTGAAACTTGGGACAATCATGTCACCTCGCAAGATAGCCAAATTTGAAATCTAGCTGCCTGTGGAAAAGTGGTCCATTCCCCCTACCTGACTGGGAATGAGAGTAATGGCATTTAGCTTGATCACAGACAGAGGGGAGAGAGAATGTCCCATTCACTGGCCTGGCTCGGGGAGGGGACACAAGCCTTTTCTCTTCGAACTAACCAAGACTCTCCATTTGCTACACTAGTTTTGGCCAAATTTGTCAAATCTAGCTGTCTCATAATGGACACCTAAACAGAAGCTTTGATGGTGATTTCCTGACCTCACTGGGGGGCTGGGACCTGTACAAATCAGTCTTCTGTTTAGGATTTAGGAGACCGGTTTTAGGCACCCGTGTTTGAAATGTTTGCCTTCTGGCCCAGCCAGTGCAGGGTGAAATGACTTCAAACAGGCAGATTTTTGCGTTCCAGCCAGTAGAGGGCAGTGGTGAGACATTGGTCCATACCTCAGTCACAACTGATTCACCTGCCCAGGTGAAACATGGCCCAACAGCCAGATGTTGGGGAATTGGTGTCTCTAGTGGCTAGGGCATGGGCTTAGGCAGCAAGAGACTTGGGATCTATTCCACCATCTGCTGCTGACCTCAGGAAAGTCCTTTCCCCTTCTGTTTATGCTCCCAAACACTTTAAGGCAGGGACAACCCTAACAATCCTTCCTGAAAGTTTTAAATAACAAAGACTCCCCGAAGAAACAATCAATCAGACAGAAAACAGTGAATAGGAAAGATACGAACCAAAATATCACTTACGTCACTCATGACCAGGGACAATTCCTAGCCTGCTCACTTGGGCACCCACAAGTAATTAGGAATCATCTCCTGTGGGGGGACAGAATATTTTATTCCTATGTTGTTTCCAGTAAAAATTAAAAGATCCATGTGACTTGTGTTTGCATGGAGAAGTGTATTAGCCAGACAGCCTAGGAGACCTAGTACCTAGTACCCCATTGTACTAGGAGTTGTACAAGCACAGAACAAAGAGGCTAAAAGGGAGAGGATTGTGTGTGCGTGGGTGTCCTTGTGCAGAAAAGGGGAGCACAGTGCAGGGGTGCTGGAACAATTTGTATAGTGGGAGTGTGGAGAGCCAATGAACCAAACTGAACCCCTGTATATCATGGAAACCACTTCAAGTCAGGGGATGTGGTAGCACTTCCAGCACCCCGAGTTCCAGCTAGGGTGACCAGAGAGCAAGGGTGAAAAATTGGGACAGGATGTGGCGGGTAATTGGCACCTATATAAGACAATGCTCCAAATATCAGGACTGTCCTTATAAAATTGGGACGTCTGATCACCCTAGTTCCAGCACTTACGGCCCAGTATGGATGTGACGGGTTGGGTCACAGAAACCCCCTTGGAGGCTGCCACCTGATGTGCCAAGACTACTTCTGCCCCTGCTTTCCTGCCCTGGCAGTTTAGAACTCCAGCCCAGCTCCCAGTGGGGTCCAAACCCCGAATAAATCCGTTTTACCCTGTATAAAGCTTGTACAGGGTAAACTCATAAATTGTTCGCCCTCTATAACACTGATAGAGAGACATGCGCAGCTGTTTACCCATCCCTCACCCCCAGTATTAATACATACTCTGGGTTAATTAATAAGTAAAAAGTGATTTTATTACATACAGAAAGTAGGATTTAAGTGGTTCCAAGTAGTAACAGACAGAATAAAGTGAATTACCAAGCAAAAGGAAATAAAACCTGCAAGTCTATGTCTAATAAAACTGAATACAGACAAAACCTCACCAGTTCTAGTAAGCTTCCTTTTACAGACTAATCTCCTTCTAGTCCGGGTCCAGCAATCACTCACACCCCCTGTAGTTACTGTCTTTCAGGTATCCTTGCGGGTGGAGAGGCTATCTCCTTAGCCAGCTGAAGACCAAATGGAGGGGTCTCCCACAGGCTTAAATAGACTCTATCTTGTGGGTGGAGACCCCCATCCTCTCTCCTATGCACAGTCCAGCTCCAAGGTGGAGTTCTGGAGTCACCTGGGCAAGTCACATGTCCATGCAGGACTCTGTTTTTACAGTCAGAAGCCATTGCCCACATGGTAACCTGAATGTCTCCAGGAAGACTTCTTATGTGGATTGGACCCTTCCAAGATGCACTGTTCCTTAAGTGCTTCTAAATTGGGCACTTAACTTCGTGAATTCCTTTCTCCAGGAACTGACCAAATGCTCTACTATGGGTTATTTAGAAATCAAGCCAGTACACAGACAATATTCATAACTTTGAATACAAAAATGATACATGCATACAAATAGGGTTAATAGATTCAGTAGATGATAACCTTTGCATAGATATGTTATATGGCATATGTAGCTATGACGAAGTGGGACTGTTCTTAACGTTTTCTCTGAATACTGTAGGGGTGCCTCAGTTTCCCCAATGCATTTCTTAAGTCTCTAGGTGGTGGGATAAGGGGGTGTAATTGTTGCAGAGCAAAGGGCCAGTGTACATAAATGGCCGACACTCTGTCTCCTGGCAACTGATGGCCTGGGCCCTTCCCCCCTGCAAGGTGATAGCTAAAGGGGCTGGAGAACAAAGGAATCAGGTGACCTCCTGGCCTGGGAAAGGGACAAAGCCCAGAGGAGGAGGGGCTGGAGGGTGAATCAGTTTGGGGCTGATTGGGGATGTGGAGTGAAGTGCAGACGTCGTCGTCTGGCTCACTGCCCCCCCAAAATGGACCCGGCTGAGGGGTCCTATTCTCTGTACCTACAAGCTCTGTTTTAGAACGTGTTCCTGTCATCTAATAAACCTGTTTTACTGGCTGTCTAAGAGTCATGTCTGACTGTGGAGCAGGACCCTCTGGCTTCCCCAGGACCCCGCCTGGGCAGACTCGCTGTGGGAAGCACATGGAGGGGCAGAGGATGCTGAATGCTCCGAGGTCAGACCCAGGAAGGTGGAATTGAGCTTTTTGAGCTTTTTGCCCTGAAGACAGTCTGCTCACAGAGAGGAGACTTCACTAGAGTCCTGACTGGCTTCGTAGGGAGCATCGCTCGGGGACTCCGTGAAAGTAGCATAGAACATATTCCAGTTATGTCATATATATTCATAAACATATTTCCATAAAGCCTTATGGGGGGCACCGTCACAATGGAAAAGATTGAGAACCACTAATTTAAACTAGCCCGCAACCAGGGCAATCCCTCGGGGAGTGCAGGGCCTGGGGTGGAAGTGACGGATTCGTCTCTTCTGGAGCCGACCGCGCTGGCCAATCGCACTGCCCTACGGGGGCCCCCAAAGCGTGGGGCCTGGAGCACTCGCCCCGATTCGCCCTAACCCCCGGGATGGCTCTGCCCACAACCCCTCCCCACATATACGACTGCAAAGGGTAGGGCTGGGCAGCATATTCATCCCAGAATAACAATGAATAGGTGTTCGGGTCAAACCCAGTTGCCTTCCTTACCACATAAGGCCACATTAATTTGCTCTCTAGGGTTTCTGCTTTATGTTCTTGAGACATATGAGCTCACTGTGGCATGCAACTGATTATTAGTTCCTATTTGCAGAGGCTACTCAACACACTCTGCTGCTCTAGGCAACTTTTCAGTGGGCTGTCCCCGACTCACTCAGCTTTGGCCCGGCTGCCCCTCCGTCATGAAGGGTTGGCCGGGCCAAATTTTGAGCCAGTAACATTGTGACCTGGTGCAGGGGGTTGCACTCACTGCCGCTCAAAATTTGGTTTGGGTACCCTAGACAGCCGCCCAGAAATTGGCCAACCTAGGCAGCTACATAGCATGCCTATCACTAGAGCGGCCTCTGTCGATTTGCATTGCAATAGTTTCCTGAGATCAGGAACAGGGTGCCATCGTGCTAGGTGCTGTACAAGCAAGACAATCCCTACCCCAAAGAGTCTTGAAAGGGCACATTTGCCCATAGGGGCTGGAACTAAGGGTGCTGCACCCCCCTGGCATGATGTGGTTTCCATCCTATCCAGGGTGTACAGTTTGGTTCAATGGCTCTCAGCACCCGCACCCTATACATTGTTCCAGCACTCTGGCATTTGCCAGTGGGATCCCAGTCCTGTTGGCCCTGCGGCCGGCCATTATGAAACCCAGCTATCGGTTGCTTTCTCCGGCTGACTGCCTCAGGGCTTTGTTTGCAACAACAGCAAGTCCCAGCGGGGTGCATGGGCGGAGCAACCTTTGCATAAGAGCCCCCCCGCTAGGTTCCCCCCAGCCACAGCTGTGACAGCTGGTCCAGCCCAGGTCACTTTAACTCTTGGGGGGGTCTGCAGACGGCCCCTAGCTCTGTTTGCATGGACACGCCCCTTCCCGCCACCGCCACGCCCACTCGGCGCGTGGGGAGGGGGAGAGCCCGGGGCGGTGCCAGCCCCCGGGAGGAGGGCGCGCGCTGAGCGCTGCCCCTTTAAGAGCAGCCGCCTCCCGCTCCGCATAAAGTATCGAATCCGGTGGGCGGGGCCCCGGCCGGGTTGCAGCGACCAATCAGGGCGCGGCCTTTGCCGCGGGAGATCCGAATTTCGCGGCACGTCGTTTGGCGCTTAAAAAAAAAAAAAAAAAAAAAAAAAGAGAGAGACAAGAAAGAAACCAGCGAGCGGCGCCGAGAGCCGCGGGAGACGGGGAGAGAAGCGGGGCCGCTCCGCAGCCATCGCCCCCGCTGCAATCCGGCCCCATCCCGGCCCCGGCCCGCTGCAGCCCCGCCGGGAGGGAGCCGAGCCGCGGCCGCCAGCTTTGCAAGGGGGAGCCGCTCCATGAGAGACAGTGGCGGGGCCTCGGCCGGATCCAGGGCCCGGGCTGGGGGCGCAGCTCCCCCTGGCTTGATGCTGCTCAGCCCCCCCGCGCTGGGGGCCTCGGGCGAAGGGGCCGCCAAAGCAGAGATTTAGGGGGGTGATTTTATGATTATTATTATTATTTTTTTAAATGCAACACGCTCGGGTGGGGGTCGATGCGCTCTCTGGGAGCGGAAAGTCACCAGCCCCTGCAATAACCTGCACGTTACCCAGCTCCTGCAAGCTGAGGCTCGGGTCAGTGACCTGGCATCTGAGCCCTGCAAAGCCCCGGTCCCCTTAGGACAGACAGTAACTTTTAATTGTCTGTGTTTTTATAAAACAGCCGGCTGCAAATTCTGGCCGGCCGGGTAAAGGATCTTCCACGAAGAAAGGAGGGGGTTCGAGCTTTCTGTCTGAATGAGGAGAGAGAAAGGAAACAGTCATTTTTATTCTGGGGCTGGTTTAGAGATTTCCCCTCCCTTCCCCCAAATGCATTTTAGCAAAAATTCCAGCTTTATTATTATTATTATTTTTTTTTTTGGAGATAGCCTCAGACTGGAAAGTGGGGGCCATTCACTGATCCTGCATGCTATGCCCTGTGTTAAATGGCTGGGCAATGCTAGGAGCAGCCTCCGACCGCTCTGTCTATCCTCCATGTCTCAGCTGCAGCTTGGTTTTTAAGCACCCCCCTTAAAGCTGTGCAAGTGCAACATTTCTGCCCTCCCTTCCCTGCCAGCTGGGCTTCTCGGAAAGGACTTTGCAATGCTGAGAGTCAAGGGAGTGTCTTCAGCCCCAGAAAGGGGGGGCTGTTCCCTTGCCTCTCTCCCCCCCCAGCAGCAGCAGCAAAAGAAAGTCATGCCTGTGATGAGCTCTGCAGACTTGGTGACTTCCAGCCTCAGCAGCCCTCAGATGCACTCCATCCCGGCCAGCTACTTCACACAGCTGTACCCTCAGAGTGTGGCTACTGCCCCTGCACCCAGGGGCAGTTGTCTCTACGCTACCCCTCATGGACCTGAAATCAGAACCATCCGATCTGCCTCTGCAGGAAGGCTGCCGGTAAAGTGTCTGACCCTTGTGCACCCTTGTGCTTTCCCCCTGTCTGTCTGCCCTTTTCAAACCCTCTGTGTGTTGGGTCTGGTGTCACTTGTATGTAGCAGAGTATGAACCCAGGCGAAATGTGTGATCCAATAATCTCTTCCTGGCGAGGTGCTCTGTTGCTACTGTGATGGGTGACATTATTAAAACCAAACACTAGCTAGTGTATTGAGGGATTGGGATTTCTTTAATATGCAAAATGTTAATGGCTTGGTACTAGACCATAAGTCCCAGCACGGTGGCTCATGTATTTCTCAACTTCCCTTCAACTCCAGTTTACCCCACAAAAAGCTGCTGTCCTCTTCCTCTTTTCGGTTCTTGCAAGTAGCTATTACGGCCCATCAGAAACTCCAGCCCTGACATTTAAGGCCATAGAAAATCTCTTGCATTAAGGAAATGAATCGTACCTCACACAATTTCCTGCAGAGTGCCTTTTGCCATCTGTTCCCTAGGCTCTGACCCCAAATCAGCCCTGGCACAAGTGAGTGTCTTTCCATTGACTTCAGTGGAAGTTAGCTCGCTCAGGGTAGGGCCCTCGCTCTGTGGCTGGCGGGTGGAGCCCTGTACAGAACGCAGCTGAGTTGAACAGGGCTCTGCGGTGATAAGATCCGAGCCTAGGGTTGTAGTGGGGTGAAGTCCATAGCGGGGTGTAACTTTCTTTTGTGTGTGCGCGTGTGTGGGGAGACTGAATTTGAATAGGATTCCATATGAATAGCAGGGATGCCCTGAAATATTACAGCTTAGGAAATCTGTACGAGAGGGACTGCAAGGATTTGGATGTTAGTTGGACAAGAAAAACCCGTGGAGGGAGGAACGGCTGAGTTTGCTGGTGCCCTGCTACCACGCTGCTGTGCAAGGGTCAAAATCCGTCTAAAGGGCAAATCCAACCTTAGTAACTAGTGTTCGTCATCTATAGATCTTAAAGCGCGTCGTAAGAGTGTGTGTAGAAATATTATTATTCCTATTTCACAGAGGGAGAAACTGAGGCACAGATAGGTGATGTGACTTGTTTGAAGTTGCACAGTCAGCAAAGCTAGGAATAAAACCCAGGCATCCTGATTCCAGTCCTTACTTGATCACATTGTCCCCAGGAGTCACATGGGGATGTATAAATAAGGCCTAGAGAATCGTGTTTCCTCTCCATCATGGGAGAGGAAAGGGGTTACGGTTTACTTTTTTGAAGCATGTGACATTGTCCTCTGTCAGTCAGAATATTGGACTATGGACCACTAGTCTAATGCAGTATGGCCTGTAGGAATTTAAAGTGCTCGTGCCCCCGATGATGAATGGAGCTATATATGACAGCCCTGCCATCACAGGGATGTGTGGATTGCACTGTAAACCAGAAGTAGGGAAAGCTCCGGAGGAAGAGCAGTCATTGCTCAGGGCCCAATCCTAGAGGCGCTGAGTGTCTTTGGCCCTGGCTAACCTGGGATGAGTCAAGGGCGTTGAGTGGCTGTGGGATCCAGGCCCTCTGGCCCTGCTGGCTTATCATTCACTTCCTCTGGGAGCTGTGCTCCCCAGGCTCTGGCTCTGTGAAAGTGGAGCTCAGACGCTGGGTCGGGCAGGCAGTTTTAACCAGCTTTACCTCCCCTTCTGTAGGCCCCTGCCGAGTGTCTGTTGAAGGCCTCTGCCAGCCCTGCTAATTGGCAGAGAGGGCTGGCGTGTAACTGCTGCTCCTGAGGCAGGCCTGGGAGCGATTCCCTCTCTCCCTGCCTGTCTGTGTTCTCCCCCAGAGCTGGTGATGCCTCCTGACAGGCGTGGGCTCCGTCACGCTCCTCTCTGAGGGCAGCCTGCGAGCGTGTCTCTTGGTTTCCCTTTCTCCGCTTGATCCATAACGTTCCTGCTCTTCTGGGGCAGTGGGTGCTGATCTGGCTCAGGGTCCACTCTCTGCACAGCCCCCACAGCCCCCGTGCCGGCAGGCTGCAGCGGGCTCTGGTGGCACCTGTCTCGTCGTTTTCGCTGCGTGTGTCTGGCTGCATTTATATTCTAAACACAGAGCTTAACGTGAAATGTATCCCCCCCCCCCAATGCCTCGTGTAGCTTCGAGGGCTGTTGTGTGCCGTGAGAGAAACCCATGCTGCTAAAACCCTTCCCCAGGCTGAAGGCAGACCATAGCCTTTGCAGAGGTGGTTTTACAGCCACCCGCTATGGGCCTGATCCTGCAACCTATGTGTGGGTCAACTGGGATCCGTGCAGGGTCTACCCGCACCAAAGTGCGTGCAGGGCAGTGGCCTAAAGAACAAATTTTCCTTTCAGAAACGCCCATCTTTCCCCGCCCCCCGGTCACCTGAGGATTTTAAAGCTCTTTACCAACTCCTAGTGATGAAGACACACAATAGTCATGTAAGCCCTGGGCTGTTGTCCCTCTGTGACAGATGGGCAGGAGCCAGGGTACAGAGAAAGTAAGTGACTTGGCCAAGGTCACATTGTGAGTCGGTGGCAGAAGTGGGAAGCGACCCCTGAAGGCTGACTGGCTGCTCTGACCACTGGACTACACTGCCCCTTGTTAATCAAAGCATGCTTGGAGCCCATCGAAACATCACTTGATGCCCCTGGCTAATGAGCGATATAGCTGCCTTGCAGTGAAGTCACAGTGTTGTAAAAGAGAGAGATTGGGCCCTGGAATGGTCTCAGTAAGACTGTTTGTGCTAAAGCCCTAAATCAGCTGTCATGCCCTCTCCCCACCCCCTGCCCTGCACACCTTGGTGCTGTAGATGGACTCCTTAGGAGGCTGTCTATTGTTTGGCATGGTGGAAGGTGCTGGCTTTCTAATGGCTAATACCTCCATTTTAGGGGAGAAACACCAGGCAATGAACTGGTGGGTGGACAATCCGTATGGAAATCTAAGCAGATCAGGAGGGTTTGATGCTCTGCATCCCTTGTGCATTTATCCCTCCCCTTGGTGGGGCCCCACTGTTCCCAAAGGTCTCTTGCTTTCCCCATCTGATGTTTTTTCCATGCTTTAACTCCCCCCTTCCTTGGGGTCACTGCCTTGCTGTGCAGCCACTTGGGCAAAGGCTAGGACAGGGCTGCCGGCAAGGTGGCTTCTTGGACTGGGTAGCTCCATCTGCAGTCCCATCCCTCAACCCCCACCCGGCCTGGGGAAGGGGGTGTCTCCTGGCTGTAGAAGCAGGAGGAGGAGGAGAAAAGGCCTTCATGGGCTTTCTCCCTCACACTGACCCATGAGTGTTTCCAAAAGGGCCATTGGCCTCCGGGGCATCAGGCTGCCTGGCCAGTCCGCGCAGAATCCCCTCGCCTGCCTTCTCATTCCTTGCAGCCTTGTCAGTTCCATGGGCCCCATCCTTGTGCGTGTGATGCCTGCACGCTCCATCCTGCTGTCACATGGGGTGCAGCTGCCGGGGTCCTGGCTAAAACATCCCCTTTCGCAAGACCAGGTTCTAGTCCCCTCTACCTTGCTCCAGGCCCTGGGGAAATCCTGAATAAGTCTCCCACATCCTGTTTCCGGCCAAACCCGAGGGTGCCATGCAGGGCAGCCAGCCCTTAGAATCATAGAATATCAGGGTTGGAAGGGACCCCTGAAGGTCATCTAGTCCAACCCCCTGCTCGAAGCAGGACCAATTCCCAGTTAAATCATCCCAGCCAGGGCTTTGTCAAGCCCGACCTTAAAAACCTCTAAGGAAGGAGATTCTACCACCTCCCTAGGTAACGCATTCCAGTGTTTCACTACCCTCTTAGTGAAAAAGTTTTTCCTAATATCCAATCTAAACCTCCCCCACTGCAACTTGACACCATTACTCCTCGTTCTGTCATCTGCTACCATTGAGAACAGTCTAGAGCCATCCTCTTTGGAACCCCCTTTCAGGTAGTTGAAAGCAGCTATCAAATCTCCCCTCATTCTTCTCTTCTGCAGGCTAAACAATCCCAGCTCCCTCAGCCTCTCCTCATAAGTCATGTGTTCTAGACCCCTAATCATTTTTGTTGCCCTTCGCTGGACTCTCTCCAATTTATCCACATCCTTCTTGTAGTGTGGGGCCCAAAACTGGACACAGTACTCCAGATGAGGCCTCACCAATGTCGAATAGAGGGAAACGATCACGTCCCTCGATCTGCTCGCTATGCCCTTACTTATACATCCCAAAATGCCATTGGCCTTCTTGGCAACAAGGGCACACTGCTGACTCATATCCAGCTTCTCGTCCACTGTCACCCCTAGGTCCTTTTCCGCAGAACTCCTGCCTAGCCATTCGGTCCCTAGTCTGTAGCGGTGCATTGGATTCTTCCATCCTAAGTGCAGGACCCTGCACTTATCCTTATTGAACCTCATCAGATTTCTTTTGGCCCAATCCTCCAATTTGTCTAGGTCCTTCTGTATCCTATCCCTCCCCTCCAGCGTATCTACCACTCCTCCCAGTTTAGTATCCGCAAATTTGCTGAGAGTGCAATCCACACCATCCTCCAGATCATTTATGAAGATATTGAACAAAACCGGCCCCAGGACCGACCCTTGGGGCACTCCACTTGATACCGGCTGCCAACTAGACATGAAGCCATTGATCACTACCCGTTGAGCCCGACAATCTAGCCAGCTTTCTACCCAACTTATAGTGCATTCATCCAGCCCATACTTCCTTAACTTGCTGACAAGAATACTGTGGGAGACCGTGTCAAAAGCTTTGCTAAAGTCAAGAAACAATACATCCACTGCTTTCCCTTCATCCACAGAACCAGTAATCTCATCATAAAAGGCAATTAGATTAGTCAGGCATGACCTTCCCTTGGTGAATCCATGCTGGCTGTTCCTGATCACTTTCCTCTCATGCAAGTGCTTCAGGATTGATTCTTTTGAGGATTGATTCTTTCCTTGGATTTTGTCTCCTGGTGGCAGCTCTGCAGCAAGAGGAGGAGGGTTCTCCAGTGGCTGTGGGTCTAGCCTGCACGTTTGGAGGCTTTGGTTCAATCTCCTGCTCTGCCCCGGTGTCACTCTGGGCATATCACTC